TTGTTACATGATCTCTGCCTGTGGTTGACAATAAAGACTGGCTTCTGGGCTTGGGGCCTGTTGAACAGACTTTGTGTTGTAAGTGAAGAAAATGCTTTGATTCACTGGCACATTTTTCATAATACCTAGCAAACAGAAGACACTTTATATGTTACTAGTTGAATGGGTGAGAAAATGATTTTTCACTTTTCTCTTAGTACTTGGGGTGCCTGCCTTGCTATCTTGCTGATTATTTTAGCTGAGAAACTTTTAGCTGAACTAAATCTTTCTCTACACATCTTTACTTGGCCTTTTGTTTGGAAAGTTCAGTGACATCAAAATGACTGGCACATAGTAGGCACATGGTCAATTTTTATTGAGTGATCAAACATCCTGTTGCCTTTCTTACTCATTGGTGACTTAAATCACCAATTGGTGGCCGCCTTTTCTGTCTCTTCCAATCTATGTGTCAGCCTTTGGTCCATTTATCTTTCCATTTCTTCTCTATGGAATGTATCCCAAGCAAAAATGTTCTTAAGGGAGTTTGGTAATCCCTTTGGATTTGGAATGTGGTAAGTAGAGTAGAGACTCATAGACACAAGTCTTATAAAACTGTTTTTCTACGAGGAAGTCTAGCTGGTCCTATCTATTCCCTAATTTGTGATTAGTAATCTGAAAAAAATATACAGTATCTGTGCCCAGCCAGTGTGGCTCAGTGGATTGAACGTCATCCCATGGACTGAGAGGTTCCAATTCAACTCCTGGTCAGGCACATGCCCAGGTTTTGGGCTCGATCCCCAGTGTGGGGCATGCAGGAGGCAGCTGATTAATGTTTCTTTCTCACATAGATGTTTGTGTCTCTCTCTCTCCAAAAAAAAAAAAAAAAAATCCATAAAACATATTTTTTAAAAAGAAAAAATAAACAGAATCTGTGATTTGAGATTCTGGTTCATCAATAAGAACTCCAGGTGTGTCACATTCTTCAGTTATATATTTGTCTACCTGATGGGCTAAGGGAAAGCTGCGCTAAGTACCTGACAAGGATAATAGGAGGAGGCTCTCGCTTTCCTGTGGCCAGTCCTTAACTTAGACCCTGTGCGCAGTATCTGTCCTAGGAATTCTTTTCTGTAACTGAAACATGAGAAATGAACTTTTAGGCTTTGATGCTTGTGGTGTGGTTTTCAATTTTTTTTTTTATCACCCAAGGACATTTTTGCATTTATCTTTATCTTCAGATAGAGCAGGAGGGAGAGAGGGAGGAAGAGAGAGAGAGAAAAACATCGATGTGAGAGAGACACATCGATGGGTTGCCACCCACATAACCCCAACCGGGGCTGGGGACAAACTGCAACTGAGGTATGTGCCCTTAGCGGGAACCGAACCCAGGGCTGATGCTCTAACTGCTGAGCCAAACCAGCCAGGGCTGGTTTTCAATTTGTATACATGTGTATTATCAGTGTTGCTAGAAATTTAGATTTTTAAATAAACTTAAATGCAAAAGTATTTTTCTTAATCTCAAATTCTTATTTTCCATCCGATTTAAATAAAATTAGGTTCTCTTGGCTTGACACAATTTTGATTCATTTCATGATGCTCTTCAGGTACTATTTTATAAAATGTAGCACAGTCAAGCTGAACTATGCTTTTAAAGGACTGATTCTGTAAGGAGAGCTATTTAAGAGGTCTTGCCTATCCAAGTTTTGACTTTCACTCAGTCCAAGAAACTATCTATAACAATACCTGTAGGATTCTTTAATTTCCTACTTTAAGTTGTCAAAAATATTTGAGAATAAATGACTGCCCCAAAATGAAGATTAACATTTGTTATATATAGTTGCTTAAGCATAAAAATAGACAGCTATTAATAGTAATCAGTGGATTGAGTGACTAACCTGACATCCCACCTCATTAAAGATCTGGTGACAGTTCTTAATCAGCATGGCTAGAGAATGGTGCTTTCATTTTGATCTGAGCTCTTCTCCCTCACTGTGGGGCTTATTGGAACATCTCACCTGCTCATGCCCTATGTATTTGCACATCTAGCTTCAGAGGCCTTGTCTTAGTCTGAGCATGTGTGCTTGCTTAAAGTATAGTGAGTCTCCACTTTCATGCATTCTGCTTTTGAACACATCAGCCGATACTTTTATATATTATACCCTGACACTCTTGTCATACATCCAACCAGGACTTCTGTGAGTTGGTCAGTAAACATTTTGCGTTATTGCACCTCAGCGCTCCCTGACAGCCACTAGTTCAGTTTCAATAGTAGCACCACCCCTGTGTGCAAGGTTGTATTTGTGCAATTATTATAGTGTTGTTTTATACTTTGATTCTTTAATAAAAATTAGTAAAACAAAAATGAAAGTGTGGTAAGAAGCATTGGTTTTTAAAAATTAATACAGTAGAGAACAAGATGGAGTAGAATTTTTTAGGCGTTGAAAGTAGGAAGTCTTGCCTGGCCAGAGTGGCTCAGTGGTTGAGCATTGACCCATGCACCAAGAGGTCGCCGGTTCGATCCTCAGTCAGGGCACATGCCCAGGTTGTGGGTCAAATTGCCAGTGAGGGGCATGGAGGAGGCAGATGTGGGTGTTCTCTTTCATCCATGTTTCTATCTCTCCCTCTCTCTAAAAATCAATAAAAAGAGAAAAAAAATTAAAAAGAAAGTAGGAAGTCCTTCACTTCATTTGGACAGTCAGTGGATCTAAACCAATCTACTGTATTCAGATATGAAAGAAAATAAAAATAAGGAGCACATATGAAATGCTGGAACTATATGGTCAAAGCTGAGTTTAAAGGGCAAATGTAATTAGAAATTTTATAATATAATGTAATGTTGTGAGATGGAACTGCCCAAATCAGATGTTAGTTGCTTAGCTGTCTCAGTTTGACTTTCAAATGTGTTTTTAGGAAATGTTCGACATGAAAGTCTTTACATGGCATGTCTGATCACTGGTTCCTATGAAAGGCCTCTCCTTCCTGCTCTGTAGAGCAGACAGGAATGCCTGCACAGGGCAGGGGGCTGCCTGCCTGCTTGGCTTGCCTGCATTCTCAGTCTGGCTTGATGAGTTTGTTAAACCTCTCTTAGTGTTATTGCATTTGCTTTTGACTTTTTTAAAAACAGAAACCCATACTGTTAACTTGGAAATGCATCATTGACATTCCTGAGTCATACTATCTATATCTGAGTTATATCATCTATAAACCTAAATGATTTAAAAACAGTTGTCTGTTATAATGTGGATCTGCCATAATTTTTTCAACCATTCCCTGGCAGATGACTTTCAGTTTATTTCTGACTATTTCATTTCATGCTATGCAATAAGCATTCTTATTTATGATGCTTTTGGTTTTACAAACTAGACTACCACAGGTGGAAATAATGGGTCAAACAACACGTATGTTTTAAAATTTAATAGATATCACTGTATTTTTTCCCCAAAAAGGCACAGCGATTTTTATTCCTCCCAGCAATGTAAGGAAGTGTCTTTTATTTCTCACCTAAAATTCTTGCCAGTCGAAGAGGTGAAAAAAGGCATTTCATTGTGCTTTAATTTGTGCTTTTTGGACTACTTGTGACCTTGACAGCTTTCTGCATTGCTCACCATTTGCCTTTCTTCTTCTGTAAATTGTCTTCTTATGTAAATTGCTTTCTTATGGACTTGTAAGAGCTTTTTGTCTATTAGGTATAGCTACTCTTTGGCATATGTGTTGCAGATATTTTTTTCCCAGCCCTTTTGTTTTGACTTTATGAATCGTTATCTTTTGCCATAAACTTAAAGACCCTTTCTGTGTTATTTTTATTGCTTTTCTTTATGCCATATACTTTTCTTCACCTACTACTACTATTTTTTTGCTAAATTTACCCCTTGGTATTTTAGAGTTTCTGTTGCTAATGTGAATGCATTTTTTTTCTTTCTTCAACTGAATATAAGGGACATAGAGAAAAGCTACCAATTTATATCTACTAGTTTTGTTTCCAAATAACTTACTAAATTCTTTCCAGTTTTTAGCCTATTGAGTTTTCTAGGCATATAGTCCTATCATCCCCAAATAAAGATAATTTATCTCTTTCTGATACTTACTTTTTTTTTCTTCTGTAGTACAATTAGCTAGAACTTCTGTTGAAGTTATTAAAACCTGCCCTACGAGTAAAAATCACATCCCACTTGGAGTTAGACCGTAGATGCCTCCTCCCCACCGCGTTGCTCTGTGCCATGCCCCTCCTGTGTCATCATCCCATTTCCTCTTCACACAAGAGTTGTGGGTATCACATACCTTCAAAGCCAGTACTGGGCAGGCTCCTTCCTTTCCAGCTAGATTCTGAGCTCTTTAAAATTGGGGATCATGTCCTCATTTTATGTCCCTCACCGGACCTAGCAGACAACTGGGTGCATAGTAAACATGTCTCACTGTCAGATGTGTTGAATGTGCTCCTTGAATGTGCTCCTGTTCTCTTCTTCAGTGCTCCCCTCTTCTTCCTTGAGGCTGGCTATGCCTTATTGGTCTCTAGACCAGATGACCAAAGTGCTCTTTGTCCACAGGGGCCTTCTCCCTTACCCACCTGGATTATTGAACCTCTGTACCAGAGGAGTTCACCTTCTCAAACTTGATCAGCATCACTGGAGAGCTTGTTAAAACACAGATTGCAGGGTCATCCCCAGATTCAGTAGGTCTGGGGTGGGACCTAACAACTTTGTATTTCTGACAAGTTTGGATGCTGCTGTTCCTGGCAATACAATTTGAGAACCACTGCTCTAGACTGTAGTTGGTAACCTCAAGGATGCAAGGCTGCGAGTTTTTTGTGTGAAAAAGCCAGATTTTTGTGGTGGTCCAAATTCTGCTCACAAAGCCAGATACCCTTCACTTCACCTGAGGGGCTTCTGCCCAGGTCCCGTCCCTCCACCATGAATCTCTGCACTAGGAGTCAGCCTATGGGTCACGTGCACATGATATTCATCTTTCACAGCATAGGTGGTTTTTTTAGGGTTAACGAAAACTCACTCCCTTTTCCATCCTCTCAGCCTCTGCACTTAGATACCTTCATGAAAACAGAATCATCCATCGGGATCTAAAGCCAGAAAACATCGTCCTGCAGCAAGGAGAGCAAAGAGTGAGTGACCCTCCTGGGACTCGGAAAGTCCCAGGGAATTGGCTCAGGGAAGCTGCCCTGGAAGGAACAAGCTTTGTATGTTTGTTTATATTTGCATTTCCTCGAGTTTTTATATTTGCTTTGATTCTCTGGGAATGTTTTTTGATTTGAAACAAAATGGGCAAAAAATTCTTGCTTGCAGATTGAGGCAAGTTTGAATGGATCACATTGTTAATGGCCCAAGTTGCAAGAATCTGATAAGGAAAATAATGTTTTTTTTACCACCTCCAGTCTCAACCCTTTGAGAGCAGAACTTTGGGACTAGTATGTCTTGGAAATAGTCTTTGTTTTCTATTTGTTCGAAAGTGGCTACTTTTGATGCTAATATGGAAACCAACTCTAAGTTGGCTCTAGATGTGGCTGAGAAGAGGCCTCTGGAGCTGGTACCTGCCCATGGAGGCTGGTCCAGCCTGCAGTTTCCCCAGAGCTCTTAGTGACCCTCTTCAGTGGCCTTCCTGCTTATGTGTGGTGATGACCTCCCTGTGGGGCTTAGGCTTGGTGCTGTGCTTTTTCTATTTTATTATTATTTTTTTATCCTCACCCAAGGATATTTTTCCATTGATTTTTAGGTAGAGTGGGAGGGAGGGAGGGAGGGAGAGAGAGAGAGAAACATGAATGTGAGAGAGACATATCTATTGGTTGCCTCCCGCATGACTCCAATCGATGCCGGGGATCAAACCTGCAACCCAGGTATGTGCATTGAACCCACGACTGGGAATCGAACCCATGACTCTTGGGTCTGCGAGTCGATCCTCAAACCAGTCAAGGCAGTGCTGTGCTTTTTCATGGCCTTGTTTGTTTAGCTGGGGGTGATGAGCAAGGGCTCAGCTGAGAGGAATTTAGTATCTCAACTGTGGGTCACTTCATCTCTCTGATACAGCTTCCGTCAGCATTCTAGGCTGACCCATGACTTCATAGCGCTCACCTTTGTTTCATCTCACACTCATTCTTGCATTGGTTCTAAGAGTTGAGAACTAAAGGCATTTGCTTCTGAGAAGAGGCCAGCCTGGTCTTTCACATCATGAAGTCCAGGTTTAGCAATGTCGAAGGCTGGTGCATCCTCTGTTAAAGCTGGCCTTCCTCTGGTGATTGGTCACAGAGCAAGGGAGAGCATAGGCCTTTTCCCAGTGTTTTTACAGCGTAAATTTGTTTCTCTTTGTCCTAAATTGACCATGTTGAAGGCATTTGCCTGTGTATTTGGTGGTTCTTAGTAACTTAGGATCTACTATCACCTGGGAATTCAGAAATATCTCCTGCTCTGTCAGCAAACAATCAGAATTCTTATAGGAGGATAATATATTCTCATAATCCTCAGATTTCTCCTCCTCCCTTTTCTTTTCAGTTAATACACAAAATTATTGACCTAGGATATGCCAAGGAACTGGATCAGGGCAGTCTCTGTACTTCCTTTGTGGGGACCCTGCAATACCTGGTAAGAAATGGGGTTTACCTGTTTGCTGATCAGTGTCTCTCCGATGGCCATATTGCGGCGCTCCTCTCTACCCTTGCCTTCTAGCATAAGTCTTCCCAGCTCTTTGGATGTTTCCTAGATGCATAGGAACTATTGTATGAGGTCAGAACCATAATCTGGCCAAGCCAGCATTTTTGCCAGCAGAGGCCCCGTGGAAGAATGTGGTCATCTTCTCGGGGCTCTGCTGGTGTGCCCTCACAAATTTCCAGTAACCTCTGTGCTTCCATATTTTGTCTGAAAATAAAGAATTTAAACTAGATTTAAAGTGGTCTGTAGAGGCCGCAGTTCCCATGAAGTGCTCAGGGGCCATTGAGGAGCAGCTGAGCTCTGAGCTCCCACCCTTTTTTTCTGTTATTTGGTCTGAATGTTGTGGTTCTATTTGAGTCATTCATTCATTCATTCAAGAAATAGTGATCGAGTGTAGGCTCTGTGCCAGGCACTGTACTAGGAGCTGGCAATGCAGTGGGAAAGAAGACAGACATTTCTGTGGCCTCTAGGAGCTTAGAGTTTAGCAAGAAAGTAGGCATTACCGGAGACTTACACCAATAACTAAGAAATTGCAGTTGTTGTAAGTGCTGCAAAGGAAAGTGCGAGGTGTGATAAAAATATATGTTAGGAAGACCAAGCCTGGTCTGGGACTTGAAGGATGAGTAGGTGAAAAGGGGCTGGAGGTGGGGGAGGGAGAGGAAGTCCCAGGCAAAGGGATAGTACAGTGGGAGGCCAGAAAGTGTGACTGGAACCTAGGGAAGAAGGAAGAGAGTATCTTGAGTTGAAGCTGGAGAGAGAGGTAGAGGACAGATGATGCAGGGGCCCTTGTTGGCTGGGTTCAAGATTTTAGACTTTCTCCTAAAGCCTCCGGAGAGACATCGAAGGGTTTTCAGTTGGAGAGGAATTAGGTTTACCTTTTGAAGAGATTACTCTTGATACGGTGGAGAGAATGAATTTCACTGAACGAGAGTAAAGTCATGGTCAGGTAGTAAGGAGGACAATGTGATAGGCAGTTCAGAGTTGATGGCAGCAGTGAGGATGTAGAAAATTATTTAAGCAATTCTTAGCAAGAGACTTAGCAAGACCTGGTGATAGATTGCTTGTGGATGATAACCAATAAAATGTTGATTAAATAAAGGAGGCTGTGGTTAAAAAAACAAAAACAATAAAAGGTTAAAAATCACTGGATTTGACGAGTTTAAATATTCTATCCAGCTCTTAAATTTAAAAAAAATTATTTGAAGTCTTTCTGAGTACATTTATACTTCCTATTTATCCCACCAATTAGGGTATGGTTTCCACCAGTTTATCATCCGCTCTATAGTATAGAGGTTTCAGAGTGGTAACTCTGGGCAGACTATGATTCAGCACCTGTGTCCATATAGTGTAATCACATAGGTCCTGCTGAGTGTCATCTGGCATCCTCATTGACTCAGCAGCAGCTTGGTGGGGGGAGAGGGGAGCCCCATGCTCTGACTAGGATGCTCAGTGAAATTGTTCACTTGCAGAAGCCAAAACTTCTGTCTATAATGAGACACAGAGATTGACCTGATCATCCCCCAATTTTTCCTTGTGGTTTGGACTCCTTGGCCCTTCCATAAGAGTCGCACATCCACCCAGACCACACACAGTGCTGTCTTCATGCCTTGCTTATGGTGGTCCTTTTGGAATGTTTCCTCTCAGACACTCATGTACAGAGCCGTATTCCAAGCCCGGGTCTGGTCCCACCGGTGCTTCAGAGCTTTCCTTGGTCACCCCAGCTCCCTCTACCTGGGAGTCTTGCATCTGGCTTTTTTTTTTCAGCCTGATTGTAAATATTCCATTTCATTGTACACCACATGTCATAAACCATATGTGTGTGTTATGCATTTGGTGTGTACATTTTTCCTTTGTTGTATGTAGTCTATCTTCCCATCTCTACACAGCGCCCAAGAGAAGGTTATATGACGTATTCTGATCTACCTAAAAGTACCCTTAGGGGCCCTTGTGTCAACATCAGGAGTCAGAGAAGTACAGAAAAATCCTAGCTACCACCACCTAAACATGGTCACCTCACCCTTGAGTGGATGTGCCAGTACCTCCTGGATGGAGCCAGGAAAAGTGTGGGGCATGACTAGAAGGGCTGGTTGCCCCCAACTGCAGCGGCTCAGGTATGTTTCCGCCATGTGTTGTTACAGGCTCCGGAACTGCTGGAGCAGCAGAAGTACACGGTGACTGTCGACTACTGGAGCTTTGGCACCTTGGCTTTCGAGTGCATCACGGGCTTCCGGCCTTTCCTCCCCAACTGGCAGCCTGTGCAGTGGTGAGTGAGGTGCCACGGCCCTGGGGCAGGGCTGGGGGAGTCTCCTGAAGGAAGGATATGTCTCTCTGTCTTTGTCATGTCATTTCACCTGTTCCCATCTCATTGGGCACTCTCAGGCTAAGCCTGAGACATCTGTGATCTGTCTCCCAGAGAGAAAGTCCTGTTGGGACCCTGCATGTGGGTAGTTCGAGCTCCAAAGACCTAGAAAATAGAGTAGTTGTCAAGTACTAACATCTTTAAGTATACCATATAAATGGCCTTTGCATGTTGCCAGTAGGTACTAGCAACATGCCAGTACCTTCACAGACCGTTGTGTAAATGTGTGCACTAACCCTGACAATGTTGTGTATTAGTAAACAACTGAAGGACATGTGCACAAGACAAATAAGAAATATTACATGAAAATTTGTTGTTGACAGAGTTCACTAAACCTGAATATAAATTTTTGTTTTAAAAATATGAGAAAGTGGCTTAAAATATGAACCAAATAAGTTACAAAGAAAGATTTTCTAGTAAAAAACCAAAGGATACAATTAAGTTTTTAAAAATTACTCTATATTGTTTAACTGTATTTGATTATTAAAATGTGTTGATCTTTATATATATATATATATGGTGTGTGTGTGTATCATTACTGAAATGCATAATTTAAAAATTAACATTCCCCTAAATCAGTTAGGTTTCATTCAGAATTGTTCCTTGAGAGGCCACACACTAATTTAAATATTTTTTAAAATATGTTTTTATTGATTTTTTTAGAAAGGGAGGAGAGAGAGATAGAAACATCAGTCGGCTGCCTCCTGCATACCCCCTACTGGGGATCATGTCAACATCCTAGGTGTGTGTCCTCTCCTGGAATTGAACCAGTGACCTGTTGGTGCATGGGACTACACTCAGTGCACGGAGCCACACCAACTGGGTGCCGCACACGAATTTAAATGATGCTTCTATGGTTCAATTTTTCTTTTGTTTTCAGTTTTTAGGAGCAGTAGTAAGTTTGCATGGTTCAAGCTTCAAAAAGTGTAAAAATACAGTGACAAGTCATTGCAGACTGGTCTCCCAGCCCTGGTTTCCTAACCCACAGGCACCCGGTAGCATTGTTTTTTGTGGGGCTTCCAAGGATGTTTTGTACATATTGGCATGTATTTGTTTGTTCATTAATGTGTTTCTCCCTTTTTTTTACATTAGTGATAGCATGATATGAACTCCGTCCTGTGCTCCTAGAGCAGTTTTACACTGTGAGAATTTCCTTCACGCACCTTGGAAACAACCACTATGAACATTTTTGTATGTCCAGGCTCTTCAGTGTGTGTGTTATACTTAAAACATACACACACACACAAATTAATCACATACTCTCATAGAGCCCGCTTTTCAAACTTAGTATTGAAAATGCTTTATGTTTTCCCATATTATTTGTAGTGTCTGTTTGGTATTCTACTGAATGGCCTTACTATAACTTATTTGACTTATCTCCTATTGTTGGAAGCATGGATGGTTTATAAGTTTTACTTCTTAAAATAACACCAAGAATAACTTTGTTGGGAAATCCTTGTATATCCACAATTACTTTTCCCTAGGATAAATTCCTAGGAATGGAAGCAACAGATAAAAAAATTATACGTTTCAAAGGTTTTTGATGTGTATCAACAAAATGCTCAACAGAAAGATTGTATAAATATCGTTTCCACTAGGAACATGCAAAGCTGTCCCTTTCATCACACCATTGCCAGCACTGGCTATTGTCATTTTTCTACCTTTTTGGAAGTAGTAAAAACAATTAACTTTTCCAAAAAAGGTATTTGCATCTTGAGAATATTTATTTATGAGAATAAGATGTAGCCTTTGAAGTCTGTCCCAGAGACTCACTTTATGTGATGGCAGTCCAGTTCAGTCAACTATACACAAGATATTGGGAATGCAATGGTGTATGAGGCGAGGGCCCTGCCCTTGAGGAGTCCTGTGAAATGGCAAAGTATGCCCTCCTGTGGTGGCTTACTTTAAAACAAGCATTTCTTGTTTTGCACAGGTTCCAAATATTGAGGAATTAGCTAATTAATTCATAATTACATCTTTTTTTAAAATTATTCTCACCCAAGGACATTTTTGCACTTATCTTCAGATAGAGCAGGAGGGAGAGAGAGAGAAAAGGAGAGAGAAACATCGATGTGAGAGACACATCGAGTGGTTGCAACCCACATGACCCCATCTGGAGCTGGGGACAAACTGTAACCGAGTTATGTGCCCTTAGTGGGAACCGAACCCAGGACTCTCCGGTCCACGGGCCCAAGCTCTAACCACTGAGCAAAATCGGCCAGGGCCATAATTATATCATATAATGTAACCATTATGAAAAAACTTTAAATATCTGTACAGCTCTAGAGTTTTTAACTAACCAAGGAATTAACTGTATTTTTTCAGTTCAAATGTTGACCTTTTCTATTATTTATAACAAAATGAGTTAAAATCCATTAAAACTGGAAGAATAAGTGCTATTTGAAAATATATTCCTAATGGCTCATCATATTCATAGTAAGTCTGTTGTCTGCAGAATCAGCTTCCTAGACCTCCCCTCATCGGTGCTGGAAGGCCAGGTGACCACTTTCAAATGGTTTTCTCTGACGCCCGATAAGGAGCTGTGTAGTGGACTAGTGTGTGAGAAGTGCCTGTCTCGTCTGCTTTGTAATGCCTCAGACAACTCTTGTAAAACTTCACTTTCCTCTCAGATGGCAGGTAGACGGTAGTTTCAGGACAAATGCAATTTCAGCTTTATAATTCAGTTATAAAGCTACTTTGCAGTACATTTAGGACCTAAGCAATAAGCATTTTACTTACTATGTCCTTTTATTTTTATAATTCCCTATTGACAGACTAAGTTTTCTATCAGAGGATCATCCTACTTGAATGTAATGAAAAGTCTCGGTGCGCCTGACTTACAATAGTCGGTTTCAGCCAGAGCTGTAAACCACCAGCCCCTGCCACCTACCAACTCTATGAGGTTTCCCCTGTGCTCCAGATAGGCCAGTTAGTTCACCCTTTACCAATGAGAAGTGTTCAGGGGAATACTTTTTATCTTTTGGAAAGGAAAGATTCAGACATTCAAACAGAGTAGAAAGAACACCAGACTTGGGATTTGAGTCCCTAGTTCTGCCACTCTCCAGTTGTATGACCTTAGGCAAATCACCCGATCTTTATTTTCTTACCACTGAATGGGGGACGAAATACAAAATGTCTGCCATATGGGGTTATCCTGGCAAAGGAAGTACGTGTTTAGTGTCAAAGGACTTGCTTAGCTATGCATGATTCAAATTTTTACCCTCGTCACCATGAAAATTTGAAACCAGTTAGATTTAAAATTTTTTCCCTTTAAATACTGTTTCAGATGCATCAATAAGTTCTCTAAGTTGGGAAATGTTAAAGTTTGTTTATCCCTAGAAGTAAGACTTAGCTGTACACATTTAGAGGGAAGTGCATGTTGTGTGCATTTTCTGTCAGTGTGATATGTGCAGTAATCGTGGTTTAGAAGTTCTAACTTGATCCTCCTTCAAACATAAGAGCTTTGAATTAGCAAAAATGAAAGGTAGAGACAATGATAATGATAAGCCAAGGGTAAAATAGCTGTCTGTAGAACTCTGGACACAGGGTGGTTTATGACTACTCATTCAGGCAGTACTGACCATTCTTAAACTCAAAGAAGCCTTCCTACTGGGATACAAATGCACTGATGATTATCTGAAAAGAATCACTAGTGACCTGGGGGTATCTTGTACAGTTGCCAGGTGACATGTTACAAATGTAAAGCGGCTCTTGACCACTAAGTGAGTTAAGGGCTGCAGTTAACAAGCACACCTCTGCAGGCATTCCAGAGTCCGGCAGAAGAGTGAGATGGACATCGTGGTTTTTGAAGACTTGAATGGAGCAGTGAAGTTTTCCAGCTCTTTACCCTACCCCAATAATCTGAACAGGTAAGGCACAGTGACATTTTTTTCAACAAAAGTTTTTCCTCTTTTTGAGATAGATGTCTGAGGTGACATCTGATAGCTTTTAAACAGGTTATCAGGATATCGGACTAAGAACTGGACACAATCCATCTCTCTTATAAACAGATGGATTCCCAGCCCTCGCCCCATCTAGAAATCATCTTTTCTAAATTCACATAACAATTTATCTCTACCTCCTATTACCCTTAGTAGCTTCAACCTTGTGTTTCATTGAGTTGGATCTACTCAACTGTAGGCCTTTTTTTTTTTTAATCCTCACCCGAGGACATTTTTCCTTTTTTTGTTCAGATAGAGAGGGAGGGAGAGAGAGAGAGAGAGAGAGAGAGAGAAGCATCGATGTGAGAGAGACACATCGAGTGGTTGCCACCCACACAACCCAACCAGGGCTGGGGACAAACTGCAACCGAGGTACGTGCCCTTAGCAGGAACCCAACCCGGGTCTCTCTGGACTGCAGGCCGACGCTCTAACCACTGAGCGAAACTGGCCAGGGCTTAACTGTAAGCCTTTTAAGGGCAGGGAATTATACTTTATTTCTCTTTGCACTCCTCATGTAACATCTTACTGTGTCATAACCAACAAATAAACCTTTGTAGTTTGAGCATCATTGCAATCTAATTTTATAGCCAGAATATGAACAGTTCAACAGTAATATCAGAATTGGGTAATAGTACAAAAGAAAACTACAAGGCAGTCACATTATCCATGAGTAGCATGGATAATAATTATCATGAGTATTTAGAGGATGAGGAGATATATTGTGTGGGTTAGAGCTATGTGGAATGACTTTGGATGAGCCAGAACTTTGTGGAAGGATCTGGAAAGATGTGCAGGACATGGATAGATAAAGAGGAAAGAAGTTCAAAGGGGAAAGATGGGGGGCAGCAAAGGCACATTTAGGAAATCAGTCAATAGAAGTAGTGGCCTCATAAAGGGCTTTCATGGAGGGGTGGTAAGAGGAGTGTGACCTCTGTCATGTGAACCAAATGCCTTTCAGGGGGTGATTAACAAATAACTCCAGCAGCAGGGGTTCAAGATTGTGTGTGGAGATCACCTGGAGGTCAAGCACGCTTGTAAAGTGCATTTACAAAGCTTAGATCATTCTTGCATAGTCAGTTGGAGATCAGCCTATTGACCCATCTGTTGAGAAATCCCTGATTTCAGGAGTTGTATTTTTTTTTTTTTTTATCAAATCAGGAGAGATAATAAGCACCTGAATAAATAAGTTGGTTGGATATGTTCACTTTTCCTCTCAGATTAATTTATTTTCAGTTATCATTTATTGGCTGCCATCTGTGTACATAATGGTGAAATGCATGTGAGGTTTGTGCTTTGCAATTTGCACATTAAGGCCGCCTGAAATAGTCGTGTCTCCTACACTCTGCTCCTCTTCTCAGTGTCTTGGCACAGCTCCTGGAGAAGTGGCTGCAGCTGATGCTAATGTGGCACCCCCGACAAAGGGGCACTGATCCCAGGTACGGGCCCAATGGCTGCTTCAAGGCCCTGGATGACATCTTAAACTTAAAGGTGAGCATGGAGGCAACAGTTCAGGTCCCCAGGGGACACAGCAGTTCTTTAAAAACAGGTCATGGGCCTCCTGACCAGTGGGGAAATTTAGGCTGCTGTGAGTATCTCTCTACATAAGTAAGAAGATTGAACCCCTGTGCTAACTGACGTAGGTTATAAGGTTGTAGCTATGAACAGACACGAATATTAAAGACTAGAGTATATTACCATGACACTCAGATGCCCATCCTCAAGCTAGGCCCTTGCTTCGCATGGCTGGGAAGTGTTGGGAGTAGCAGAGGATCCAGGCAAAGAGATGGGCATCTCTGTAAAGTTGGAATTTTTCAATAACATCTGGATTGTGTTGCAGCTGGTCCATATCTTGAACATGGTCACAGGCACCATTCACACCTATCCAGTGTCAGAAGACGAGAGTCTACAGAGCTTAAAGGCCAGAATCCAGGAGGACACAGGAATCCCAGAGGAGGACCAGGAGCTGCTGCAAGAAGCGGGTCTGGCACTGATTCCCGACAAGCCTGCCACTCAGTGTATTTCAGACAACAAGGTGAGCCTCTGGGCTTCTTGCAGAATGCCCTGTTTTACCCTGACTTTGCCTGCAAGGAAAATAATCTTGCATTCATATTTTAGCTCTACTTTATCAGTTCTGTTCATCACACAGATACCTGCCTGTTTTTTTAGTTGGAACGCGAGATCCCCTGTTTGGCCTAACAGGAGACACCGATCACTCCATAATTGACTTGATACTTCCAGACCACTTAGAGTACCTTTATTTTGCCTTTGTTGCAAAGTAATGCTTCATTCTTCCATCAACCAAAACTATTTATGATGTACATCTTGTGTACTGTGTTGACCACCACAGCAAAGCAAGACATAGTCCATGTCCCCAAAAAGCTGATGAAGTTAACATGTGAAAAACAGTCATTGAAGAGGAAAGGAGATAGCAAATGCCTAAATCATAGAATAAAATAGAATGTAATAAGTTGTAAATAAGGTGTACGTTGCGATAAGTAAGTGTAAAAGGAACAGGAAAAAGAAGTAGCGGCCAGACAGGCGCTTAGTACTTACTGGCTGAAGACAATGCTGTTGGTAGACAGTGGGAAACTCTGAAATCTCTTTGTTATTACTTAGGAGAAGGAGGGGTTAGATTCATGAGATCTCATTTTGTTCTTGTCCCTTTGCAGCTAAATGAGGGCCACACATTGGACATGGATCTTGTTTTTCTCTTTGACAACAGTAAAGTCACCTATGAGACTCAGATCTCCCCACGGCCTCAACCTGAAAGTGTCAGCTGTATCCGTAAGAACATCATTGTGGTTTTTTTTTTTTTAATAATCACGTAGAATTTGGGGGACAAGGCAGAAGGGAGGGACATGGACCAGGGGAGGGGTGTACACCAAGGAGATCAGCTTACCCTGTCTTTGGGGCAGCCTTCTTTACTAGGGACATGTGAGGAGTAGCCTAGCCAAAAAAGAGTAAAGGAAGTCTTCAGTTAATTTGAATTTCCTAGGTAGAACTTTAAACAGAGGATAGAGAATACTGCCTATAAGCCACTGAACTTGAATCAGATGGCCATTTTAGTGTTTTTATATTTTAATAATTAATACATACACATATACAAAAAAAATCAAAAGGTGCAAGAGGATATATAGTGAAAAATAAGCCATCTTCTCTCCCCAAGTTCTCCATCCTCTTCCAAGAAACGGCTGCTATCAAATTCTTGGGTATACCTTCCAGGAATATTCTACCTATGTATTTATAGATTATATATACCCCCCCCCCCCAAACAAATGGTCTCATACAATATGTACTGTTCTGTATCTGCCTTTTTTACTTAACAATATATTTTGGAGATTCCCTTGTCCCCACTTTTGGTGCATATAGAGCTGCCTAGTTTTTAAATGCCTGTGTAGTAGTATTCCATTGTATGAATATTAGATGGACATTCAAAAAAATTTTTTAAATTCTCACCCAAGGATTTTTTAAATTGGTTTTAGAAAGAAACATTGATGTGAGAAACATCAATCAGTTGCCTCTTGTATTTGCCCTGACTGGGAATCGAACCTACAACCTTTTGGTGTATAGGATGATGCTCCAATGGACTGAGCCACCAGGCCAGGGCGATGGAAATTTTAATGTATCTCTCAGTCCTGTTCACACACACACACTCACTCATTCATACTCACACACTCACACACACTCACACACTCACTCATTCACACTCACACTCACTCATACACACACAAAACAAACAGAGCAAGGGTCAAAGACACCTCCAGGCTATTGCTTATTTAGTTATCTTTCAGTACTGCTCGTAGCAGCTGCATTTTTAGAAAGCTTCATATTACCTTAAATATTGTGATCATAAGAGTTTCTACTGAAAATGTATGAGGCCTGTGTACATATGACTATCTCCACACGGTTCACTGTTTCTTCACATCAAATCAACAGTTCTTTATTGACTGGTACATGCTTGTTCTGTAATGGGGTACCAAAAATATATGAGACAGTAACCAGGCATAACGCCCCAAAAAGTTATATAATAGTATAGTAGTTATATAACTTTTAAAAATGTGAACGTGCCAGTGATGTTGCAAGGCAGGATGTGGTTAATCGTAGGGGAGTTGTTCTCTGACAATTGTATATGTCTCTGTTCCAGTTCAAGAGCCCAAGAGGAATCTGCCTTTCTTCCAGCTGCGGAAAGTGTGGGGCCAGGTCTGGCACAGCATCCAAACCCTGAAGGAGGACTGTAACCGCCTGCAGCAGGGACAGCGAGCTGCCATGTATTGTGCCAGGCGGTTTTGGACTTAACTTATTTAAAATTGCTTGGTGGCTTTTGCCACAGGGAGGTGGCAGAGGCAGGGGCCCAGAAGCAACTGTTAGGAGAGACAAGAGGGAGACACTGGTTTGGATGGGCAGGAAGTGGTCAGCTGGGCTGGCTGGAGGGAGGCCCTTTTAGACCTGACAGGGTGAGGTCAGCACATTGCCAGGAGTGTAAACGGAGGGCTGGGTTGACTAAACTGGGGGCAGAATTTAGAATGTGGAGGAGCTCATTGCAATTTGGGTCAGCAACATTCCCCTGATTGTCATGCCAGGGGCTGACTAACTCTTTCCCCAGATTATGACTAGTTTGGATTATTGGCCATTTGTGTAGTCCTCTAATTCCAGTTTTGGTGCAGGACCTCATGCATTGCTGAGGACTAGGAAATTGTCTTTATGGTTGTAAGTGGCTGCTCTTACAATAATTATAGCAGAGATCTGCCTTGGCATTTGAGGCAGTTGTGTTATTGTGCAGGAAATGGTATTTGGATCCCAAAGATGCCCCAAGGCTCTGTTTCTTGTGGTCCTTGCAGGATGAATCTCCTCCGGAATAACAGCTGCCTCTCCAAGATGAAGAACTCCATGGCCTCCATGTCTCAGCAGCTCAAGGCCAAGTTGGATTTCTTTAAGACCAGCATCCAGATTGACCTGGAGAAGTATAGTGAGCAAACTGAGTTTGGGATCAGTGAGTGTACTCTTTGCAATGAGTTTGGAGAGACCATTTTGTTCTTGTTTTCTCTTCCTGAGTTTTCTTTTATTCTTTAAAATTGAGTTGCTTATTCTGTTTTGGTTTTGTGGTGTCTTCATTTTGTTTTTTATTTTTTTCCCCTACATTTTTTTTTTCCAGCATCAGATAAACTGCTACTGGCCTGGAGGGAAATGGAACAGGCTGTGGAGCTCTGTGGGCGGGTAGGAGACTCATTTTAGGTTCATATCCTTACTGATGGGAGATGAGGCTATTTTCTGCCATTTCCCACTTTCTCTTCAAACACTAGGTTGACCTTGTATGTGAGAACTCAAGTTTTCCTCACCTTGCTCTTTGACTTTAACTAGAAATTGATGGAAAGAAGCTGGCAGAGTAGTCAACTAAAGGGGGCCCAACTGTGGCAGATCCAGGAGCTATACAGATGGACAGAGCTGGTCCAGATTTGAGTAAGGAGCAAAGTGTGAAGTGTCCTCGTGGAGAAGAGACCTCTTCCTATTCGAAAGGGCCTTGGATGAATGATAAACACTCCATCTAGTCAAAAGTTTTTGCCTAGTTTTTTGGGGACACTAAATCCATAGGAAAGAAAAGGTCTAGGCAGAGTCTTAGGACAGTGTAAACCAAATGCCACTGGAAAACATTAATTAGGAAGGCAGGGGAAGTGTTACTTAGTGACCCTCAACCAAATTGAAGACCTTGGGCTCTGAGGCTTTTTCTTGGACTTTTTCACCATTTTCCCCTGTGAACTTGGGCAAGGACCTTCACCTATGTGTTTTGATGTTTGTTTCTGTAAATTGGTACTGAATGAATGCTTAAATGTGAATATATATAGACAACTTATTTAACCATAGAAATGGGTAGTGCTCCACCCCCATCTCGGCGCTCATATATGTAATCTGTGAACGGAATCCCACCCCCACATGGGATGGCCCTGGATGGACAAACTAAGGAGAGAGAGGAATGTACACGGGGCATGTTCTATATGCCAGGCACCAGGCCAGATCCTTTACATACTTATCTGACCCCTAAAACAGCCCTATCAGAAGCCTATTTTATGGTGGAGGAGACTGCAGATAGGGGTTAAGTAATTTGCCCAAGGGTCACACAGAAAGTGGTAGACCCAAGATCCAAACCAGCTCATTCTGATTCCAAAGTCCATATTCCTTCTAGCCAGTCAATTGAGAGTCTACAGTGAGTTTGGAGGGTTTTCCCTGAAAATCTTGCACCTCAGAATGATCTTATGATGTCAGTTGACATAAGCACAGTTTTGTTTTGTTTTGTTTTTTTTAATCAGGAGAATGAAGTGAAACATCTGGTGGAACGGATGATGGCATTGCAGACAGACATCGTGGACTTGCAGAGGAGCCCAATGGGTCGGAAGCAGGGGGGAACACTGGACGACCTGTGAGTACCAACTGGGCGGGGGCCGCACACTGTCCCCAACACATGCACATATCCCAACTGGAGTTTCCATATGTGTGTTGGGATCATGTGTGGTTATTATGGAAGCTTGTGAGGCTGTTCTCCTGTAGAGCATATACCCTCATCCCCAGTGAATCATCTCAGCATGTTCCAGAAATGAACAAGGACACATCACCATCACTTTGAGTCTTTGTTTCCATATCTATTTAGTGGCCAGAAAAATGGTCTCGTCTCCCAAAGTTGTGAAGATCAGTTCAGATAATGCACAGAGCAGTAGTGTGTAAACTATGAAGGCTATACCGCAAGGAGCCTTTACCATGGTTTCAGGCATCACTGTTTGTCCAGCCCACCTTGACCCAGGTATAGCTCAAAGAGCAGAAAGTAGAGCAGAGAAGGAGAAGACTGGCAACTCTTAGAAGTTTGGACCTGGAAACTGTTCATTTGAGTCTTTATCAGGACTTTGGCCTTGGCTCCAAGAGAGGACGAGGGGCCTAGGAAGAGCAGTCCTGCCTGAAGGAAGTTGCACACAGCCCCCAGGGTGCAGACGGGAGGAGGCAGGCAAGCTCATCAATTTCTCAGGAGTTATCTCATTTGGGCTGAGCAGTGTCCTCTGATGCTTCTACTAGGATTCTCAGGACCAGGAACTGAGAATCTAGAAATCTGATTATTTGTATTCTATATTTTCTTGAATCACTTAAACTTTTATTCTCCCCTAGTTTTCAAATGAGAATCATCTCTGAAAATGTCAGCCAGTCTCACTGTGTTAAGGGGAAAAAGGGGTTGGAGTTTGTGTCCTCCCTGGTCTTGCATTTTCAAAAGGAAACCATGTTCTCTGGGCTCAGGTCCAGGGATGGTACCTGGAATTACTATTGTGGAAGCCAAGTGGACAGAAATTCTAAGGGACAGAATGGAGATTCCTTTCTTTAAGATCCTCTCTCATAAACCTTGGAGATGTTTGATTTTTTATAATGATGGTGATCATTCCCTTATTTTAAACCTCACCTATACTAAAACCAGGAATAGTCATTTTCTCCAGTCAGGACATATTGCCAGACTTACTTCTAGAAATCAGTAATTCTACTGGCAGGAATTAGCTTATCAGTGCTTCAAGTGTGCTAATTTGTCCTCAAATCTAGACAGAGCTTCTTATTTGTATATTTCAGAGAAGAGCAAGCAAGGGAGCTTTACAGGAGACTCAGGGAAAAACCAAGAGGTAAGGGGATTCCTTGGGTTCCTTGTTACCTCAGGTGTGAGGCATTGGGACTCTGCCAGCCATCTGGAGGAACTATGAAACTCCTTTCCTCTCTCCAGACCAGCGAACCGAGGGTGACAGTCAGGAAATGGTACGGCTGCTACTTCAGGCAATCCAAGCCTTTGAGAAGAAAGTGCGAGTGATTTACACACAGCTCAGGTATATCCCTGATTTTCCTACTCGAGGTGGATTGTGGAGAAGCAGCGAGGCTGTGTGAGGCCATTTCTTCACGCTGATGCGCTTGCCCACCTGAAGAAAATTTATCTGCAATTGCTGATTGGATTCATAATCACCAGGGATTATGTCCTGCTTTCTTCAACCCAAATGCCACTGGGCTTTTTCTTGTTTATTCTTTACAGTAAAACTGTGGTTTGCAAGCAGAAGGCTCTGGAATTGTTGCCCAAGGTGGAGGAGGTGGTGAGTTTAATGAATGAGGATGAGAAGACTGTTGTTCGGCTTCAGGAAAAGCGACAGAAGGAGCTCTGGAATCTCCTGAAGATCGCTTGTGTGAGTGAAGCCTTGTAGCCAGGCACACAGCCCTCAGTCTGCCAGCCTCTCTGGGCCTTTCCACCTCTGTGCAACTGTCACCACCCAACAAGGGAGACCACAAAGCCACTGACAAACCACTCAGCTGCTGTTGCTCACTTTTCACTTCTTCATAACTTTGAGTGAGCAGGGAGGGGCAGAGTTACAGCCTAGGCTCATTGTTTTTATTTATGCATGTATGCACTTCCTGTGGCTACTGTAATAAATTTCCACAAAGTATTCTGTCAGAGTCTAAAATCTAGGTGTTGGTAGAGATGGGCTGTAGAGGAGCCTTGCCTCTTCCAGCTTCTGGTGGCCCAGGTGATCCTTGGCTTGTGGCTGAATCACTCCAGTCTCTGCCTCTGTCTTCACATGGCCTTCTCTGTGTCTCTCTTCTGAGTATCTCTTATAAAAACACTTGTCATTGGATTTAAGTCCCACCTGAATAGTCCAGGATGATCTCATCTCAGGATCCTTAACTACATCTGGAAAGACCCTCTTTCCAAATAAGGTCCCATTCCCAGGTTCTTGGAGTTAGGAATGGATGGATCTTTTGGGGGTCCTGCATTTATTCTTCCCTACAGCGCATGGCAGCATGATGTGGTGGATCCTCATCTATGTATGCGGCTTCCATTGTAACTCATACTTTCCGTGCTTACCATCAGTCTTAATATAACTGTGACTCCACTGAATGTTGCTCAGAGAGAAAACATGAAACGAAAAAGAGAGCTCAGGACAGAGAAGTGAAAGAGCCAGGCAAAAGCCATGGAAGCCAGAGCTGATGGGAGAGTGGCCTGCACTCTGAAGGCCGCACAAAGGCTGAAAAGAGAGCCATGTAGTCATTGTGGCCTTTAAGAGCAAAGAGGAGAATGGGAATTCTTGAGGTGGGATACAAAGATGGGGTTTTTGTTTTTTTCTTTATTGATTTTAGAGAGAGACGAAGGGAGAAGAAGAGAGAGATAGAAACCAATGAGAGAGAACATCAACTGGCTGCCTCCTGCATGCCCCCCACTGGGGATTGGGCCCACGACCTGGGCCTGTTCCCTGATCAGGAATCGAACCAGTGACCTCTTGGTTCATGGGTTGATGCTCAACCACTGAGGCACACTGGCTGGCAGGATGGGGATGTTTAAGATCATGGCAACTGGAGCATATTTGTAGGCCAATCAGAAGGAGACAGTGTTCCGGGGGATTCACAGTGTCAAAGTGGTAGGATACAGTTTAGTCTCCAGTCTTGAGAACAATGGAGAGAGGTCAGCATGATGAGCTTGGCCTTGGGAAGTAAGGAGGAAAAGGGGGAGAGATGACCAGGCAGAGACGATTTAAGAGGGAGAGGGAAGTTGAGGTATTCACAGTCAATGGCCTGATCTGCCATCTGTATCCATTCAACATTTATTGAGTGCTGACTATATGCCCAGCAGGGTGCTGGAGTTATTGGAGGAAAAATAAGGTAGCACCTGGCCCAATGAACTCCTGATCTGGTGAGGGGCACAGACAGGGAAGTGACTGAGAACAATTTAGGGCAGGAAGTGCCCTACATCAACTATAGTAAGCACAAGCTATAGCATGAATACAGAGGAGGAATGCCAGCTTCAGTCTTAGAGGTGAGGGAACCACAGAAAACATTCACAAGGAGGTATTGTTTCACCTGAAGAATGAGTAGGAAGTTGGTAGGTGGCTAGGTGGAGATGAGGACATTCCAGAACAAAGACATTGCTCTGACAAAGGCGTGGAGAGAAGGTATAAGCAGGTTGGTTGGTGTAGGGAAGGGTATCACTGGGGATGGCATTGCACCAGGTAGGCAGGGGCTAGCTCATACAAGCCACACTTTATTTAAAATTTTTTTTTTAATCCTCACCTAAGGATATTTTTCCATTGATATTTAGAGAGAGTAAAAGGGGGGGGGGAGGAGGGAGAGAGAAGAGAGAGGGAGAGAGAAACACTTATGTGAGAGAGACATATGGATTGGTTGCCTCATGCTTGCGCCCTGGCCTCAGCTGGGGATCTAGCCTACAATCCAGGTATGTGCCCTTGACAGGGATTGAACCTGCGACTCTTCGGTGCATGGGCCAACTTTCCAACCACTGAGCTGCACAGGCCAGGGCAGCCACACTTTATTTTGAAGACATAGAGGAAACACTGCAGTATTTGTTTTTTCCTTTTATTTTGAAAGAAGTTAAGTATGGGAATGAGGTGATCACATTAAGTTTAGAAAACTCACTAATAGCACTGGAGAACAGATTTGAGACTTTGGCAGACCTCATCTTGAGCATGAAGTGCCTCTCAATGGAGGCTGGAAATGAGTAGTTCCTGTGGTGCAGAGGCCAGGATGGTAGAAAAGTAAGGAGCCAAACAGCACAGTAGTGATCTCCTTCCTCACTTGCAGACCCAGGCAGAACTGAAGGAGGTAGGTGGCTGGGTCTCTCCAAGGATGATAATCATCAGGGAAGACACAGCAGAAGACAAAGAGCAGGGCAAAAGGCTGGGTGAGGTTGGACCTTGACATTCAGCTAGAAGGGAAGATGTGGAGCCAGGATGGGTCCCACATTTGAGCGGCTGAGAGGGATGAAACACTGCAGGCTGCAGTGAGGGCAAGGAGAGGGGTTAATGAGCAGTAAGTAGGTGAGGCCAACAGATGAGAGTGTGCTGGGGACTCAGGGAGGAAGAGGTGGCGTGGGGTGCTGAGAAGGTTGACCGTAGGCTGCAGGCTGCAGGTTTGAGGAGGTGCAAGTAGCTGGAGCAGGAGCCTTTGGTTTAGCATCTTGGCTTTGAGGTGGAATGGCTGCAGCAGCCTGGGTGTCAGACTATCTTGGTTTTCTTCTCTGCTGTCCCACAAATGGTGCATTCACAAAAAGTCACTGATAACTTTTTTGAGCCTTAGTCTTCTACTTGGAAAAGAGTAATAACACTTCACTTTTAATTTCCTTATGCGAGTTCATTAAGCAATCAAACTTAGAGACATAAAGCTTACAAATACAGGCACTCAAATCTCCCTATGTTTAGAATCTTTTATCAAAAAGTACATACACCTAGTCCTGGCTGGTTTGACTCAGCAGTTAGAGCGTCGGCCTGCGGTCCACAGTGACCCAGGTTCGGTTCCCGCTAAGGGCATGTACCTCGGTTGCAGTTTGTCCCTGGCCCTGGTTGGGTCGTGTGGGTGGCAGCCACCCAATGTGTTCCTTTCACGTTGATGTTTCTCTCTCTCTCTTCCTCTCTCTTCCCCCCTTCTATCTGAATAAAAAATGGAAGAATGTCCTTCGGTGAGGATTAAAAAAAAAGTACACCTGATAGAGAAACGTTTTCTAAACTGAAATGCAAACTATGAGCTGTTGTCATGGATAGAGGTGTTGCCCGGTATCCTCTAGGAATAGCATGCGTCTTGTGGCCAGCTGCCTCATGAGAAAACACCACAGTGTGAATGCAAAAGTTGAATTATCTCTTTGCTCCACAATTTTGTTGACTTTCCTTTTGGTTTCGTCCTTTAGAGCAAGGTTCGTGGTCCTGTTAGTGGAAGCCCAGATAGCATGAACACTTCTCGCCTTAGTCACTCTGGACAGTTGATGTCTCAGCCTTCCACCGCTCCCAACAGCTCACCTGAGTCAGTCAACAAAAGGTACGTCATTGTTAACAGTGCCAAGTGTAATATTCAAGGGCACATCAGGAGGTCATCAGATGGAAATGGATGTTTATCACTGATAGACCATTTCATCTGTCTAATGATTTTGTGCATGTTTTTCTTTGCATTTGTTACATATGGTAGGCACTGCAGGGACAAATGTCTCAGTCCCTTGGGAGTCAGAATATCTTGGTAACTAAAATTTCCCTGGCTGAGGGTTGGAATACTAATTGCTCAATAAGAATATTGAAAATGCTAGGCAGTCACATGCTGTTATGTAGTCCATTAGTCATTATCTGGTCTTCAAAACCAGATTCCCTATAGGGAGGGCCATGTTCATCCACCCGAGTCATCTTGCCTCCTCCCTCCCACCCCACCACACTTTGAGTTACTGTTACATTTTCCTCCCACTGCTTCTCATCACCTCCCGGTGGAGTGGCTCACCCCTCTTCTCCCCTCCTGTTACCTGGACCGCTGCCACAGAGGAGTGCGCAGAGCACTTCAGCCCTTTCCGGCAAGGCTTTCGGCCTCCCTGCTTCCTGCCTCGTACTGCCTCCAAGCCCTTTCTGGTCAAGTTAGTCCTCCCAAAATACCATTTTGATCAAGTTATTCCTTGGTCAGTAAGTAGTAATGGTTCCTCACTCCCTAAAAAATCCATCCTGAGCCTTTTCAGGCATTCACAGCCACCTCAGAGAGGCTCTCCAGGTGGATCCACAAACTCCTTGCTCTAGCCCAGTGGTCCTTAAAGTCTGGTCCAGACCAGGAGCATCAGCAGCATCTTGTTAGAAATGCAGATTCTGAATCAGAAACTCGGGTGGGGCACAGCGGTCTGTGTTTAACAAGCCCTGGCTGATTCTGATGCACACTCAAGTGGAGAAACTTCCCTGGAATGCTCCTCTCATCTGGAGGGCTCATCTGCTTCCCATCTCCTCCAAAGCTCTGACCACACAAGCACACGAGATCGTTCTCTTCTTGGACCTCCTGTGGGTTTTTTTGTTTTCGTTTATAATTCAGTCTCATACCCATTAACTCAGCACGTTCTGTGTGCCAGGGCCTAGGCCCTGGAGATGGTTAAAATCAGTTCCTATAGGCAAATCTATAGACATAGAAAATAGATTAATGATTGCCTAGGACAGGTGGGGAGGGGGAATGGGAAGTGATTGATAATGGGAATAAGATTTTTTTTTTTGTTATCCTCACCGGAGGATATTTTTCCATTTTTTATTCAGATAGAGCAGGAGGGGGAGAGAGGAAGAGAGAGAGAGAGAAACATCGATGTGAAAGGGACACATCGAGTGGCTGCCACCCGCACAACCCAACCAGGGCCGGGGACAAACTGTAACCGAGGTATGTGCTCTTAGCGGGAACCGAACCCGGGTCTCTCTGGACCGCAGGCCGCCGCTCTAACTGCTGAGCCAAACCGGCCAGGGCGGGTACAAGATTTTTTATGGGTGATGAAAATGTTCCAAGATTAGATTACTGTGATGATTGTACAACTCTGTAAATGTGGTGAAACTGTCGAATTGCACACTTTAACTGGGTAAACTTTATGATATGTAAATTTACCTCAATAAAACTGTTTTTAAAAGTCCTGTTCTAGTACTTGGGGAGTTCATAGCCTATATACTGTTTTGGTACTTAATTATATGTGGCTTTAGGTTCCTAATTCTCTCCCCAACCTACTGTGAGTTCCTTGAGGATAATCACTGGATCCTGTGCCTCCTACATTGTCTGCCGGAGCTGGCACCTAGGCTTTAACTTAGTCAGTAGTCCTGTAGATGAGGCTAAGCAAAAAAGTGCCCTGAGTTCCTTCCATCAGTGTCATACTTAGCAAGGTGAGAGGACACTGCCTTCCTGGACTTTTCATATTCCCTCCAGTGATATACTCAACGATCTAGAAGAGTCATCCTGGGAGCACAGGTTGCCAGTTGTTTCTCTGCATCACAGAGCTGAGATTAGAAAAGGGCAGATGGCTTATTATACTTTCCCTATCTTACTACAGCCTGTGGTGGTGGTTTTTTGTTTTTAATATTTTTATTGATTTTTTTTTTAATAGAGAGGAAGGGAGAGAGAGAGATAGAAACATTGATCAGCTGCCTCCTGCATGCCCCCTACTGGGGATTTAATCTGCAACCCAGGCATGTGTCCTGACCCAGAATTGAACCGGCCACCTCTTAGGATAACACCCCTCTTGGGATAACACTCAACCAACTGAGCCAAACCAGCTGGGCCCCATGGCCCATTTTTGATAGGACTGAAATCATAGAAAAGAGAGAACACAGATTAAATGAAATCAGTTCCCAGACCTGCTTTTTCTCAGATCTCAAGGAACTGTGAAAACCTGGTGAAATTGCTTGGTTTATATATATTTTTTTTCTATTTCAAAAATTAGAAAACAGGTGATTTGGGAGTTATCTTTAGATTTTGGCAGTTTGGAGAGAATTTAATAAATTCAGCTATCTAGTTAAATCAGAAAGAGTTCTTTTACTTTTGTTTTTATTAAGGAGGGATCTATTTGCTTTTTCACACTGTGACAGGCAATGTTCATAGCTAGATTTGGTCTTCTGAAAGTACTTAACGACATGAATGAAATCACTAGTCTGACGTGTTTTTGTTTTGTTTTGTTTTGTTTTTATCTTCACCCAAAGATATTCTTCCCATTGAATTTTAGAGAGAATAGAAGGGAGAGAGGGAGGGAGGGAGGGAGGGGAGAGAGAGAGAGAAACATCAGTGTGAAAGAGACACAATGTGAGAGACTGGGGCTGGGGATCAAACCTGCAACCTAGGTATGTGCCCTTTAGGTATTGAACCTGCAACCCTTTGGTGCCCGGGCTGATGCAACACTGGCCAGGGCAACATGGTGTTTTAAAGACCCTCATCACCAAAATAATTCTTATTTAATTTAAAAAATCTTGTCAAAAGCTCTTTAGCATATTTTTAAGCAGTATTATCTCTGAAAAAATATTACTGACACTTTTTAGTAACTTGATCCTTTTCTTTAGTGAAGAGCTGGTGGCTGAAGCACATACTCTCTGCACCCAGCTAGAAAGTGCAATGCAAGACACCATGAAAGAACAGGACCAGAGTTTACAGGTAATGGCCTATGTGAACCCCAGCTATCCCATGTCCTTTTTGCAGCGGAAGAGAAAGAGAATATGGAAAGGCAATCCAGTGTTTCCTCAATCTCAGTATACACTTATGATTTTCTAGTACAGTGACCCTTCCACCACGCAGGAGCTAGAGGTGCCAACTCCCTGCACATTAGAAAATCCACGTATAACTTTTGACTCCACAAAAACTTTACTACGAATGGCCTACTGTTGACTGGCAGACTTACTGATAATTTTCCACTGATTTTTAGATAAAGTAGAAGGGAGGGAGGGAGGGAGAGAGAGAGAGAGAAAAACATTGATGTGAGAGAAACACATTGATTGGTTGTCTCCCTCATGACACAGACCTGGGCTGGGAATCGAACCTGCAACCCAAGTACGTGCCCTTGACTGGGAATCAAACCCGAGACCCTTTGGTCCACGGGCCGACGCTCTAACCACTGAGAAAAATCAGCCAGGGCAGGTTTGTAGGCTTTCTATATCTGTTGTTGCTGCTCTTCCTCCTCCTGGGACTGTATATTTAATCCTTTCACTGCTAATTTGCATTTCTACCAGAGGAAAAGGAAGTCTTATTAGAGCATTTCATCTGGTGAAGTTGGAAATCAATAGCTGAGATTTGCTTTGCTCCTAGATTATGGCCTGTGTGAAGCCCAGCTATCCCATGTCCTTTCTGCAGCGGAGAAAAAGAATATGGAAAGGCAATCCAGTGTTTCCTTAATCTCAGTATACACTTATGATTTTCTAGTACAGTGACCCTTCCACCACGCAGGAGCTAGAGGTGCCTACTCCCTGCACATTAGAAAATCCACGTATAACTTTGCTCCTTTAGCCACAGGGCCTTTGCATGTGCTCTTGCTCCACCTTAAATGCCCTTGGTACCACCTACCCACAGTGGGCATAAATAAGTAATGTGAGTACAGCTAAAATTGCATTTCTACTTTCCATCGTCCAGGGATCTCAGGGACTCCAATCTAGTCCAAAGAAAAGATCCTGTACAATTTTGAATGTCTATTTAGCTCAAGCATACCCTGCAATAAAAAGACTGTTATTAATGAAAGGGTTCAAATTTCCTTCTAAATTGTGCTGGTTGCCTCCTGGAAAAGAAAAACAACCTGAGGTGTACTGGTGGCCACTGTATTTTTAACCTGCCTGTTGACTTTCAGTCTCTAGATTGGAGCTGGTTACAGACAGAAGAAGAAGAACAGAATAGCTTGGAGCAGACCTCATGACTGTGTGTGTGGCCTTGACCACATGATGGGGCTGCCTGGCCTGAAGCTGTCCCACAGTGGCTCCTGCTATGTAGATGTCCCAGCAGTCTTCGGCACCCAGATGGAGATCTTCTCACTTCCCCAACGGTTGTGGCACTGACTGTGGACCAAGGGTGTGGCTCTCCGTGGGCACTGCCAGCAACTTGTCTGTACACTGGAAGTCCTCCATCACAGAGGCCCAGCGAACGTGGATGCCAAGCAGGAGCATTAGGGAGACTAAACCACAACACCTCCTTCCTCTGCTCTGAAAAAAGTACTCAAGTACAGTTGCCCCACAGACCACTGGACAAATGTCTAACATGAATTTTTCAGGACAAAGTATGAACAGCACTTGGTGCCAGCCTGTCCTCTGGTGACCCTCCTGATCTTTGGAGGCCCGGATCCACACGTCCTCACAGTTAGTGTCCATTGGATTTGGCTTCTCTTGAACAGACTTTAAAATCACGGACTTGGCCTGGCCCCATCCTCTCTCTTCTTCTTTTCATTTCACTGCTGCTAAAATTTTCTTTTTACCTACACTTTGGTGGTTATACTCCCTTTGGCAAGGTTGTAAGTGAATGCTAACCTCTCCCTGTCTGTAGTCCTTTTGGCCACAGAGTGACTCACTAGAGCCAGGATGGAAGAGCAACTCCCTTCCTTTGGGTCTCAAAGATTACTTGGGAGTGAGTTGTTATGGAGAAGAAGGAAAGAAGAAAAGGTTACCTGTCAACCACAGGCCTGCTGACCACAAGCACACACCTCCTGTTCTTGCTCAGACACATCTGTGTGGTGGTGGGATGGGGAGTCCCTGCCTCTCATATCATCTAGCAGTATTATTAAATTGGTTTATTTTTAAAAATTGTTTCTATATCTTGTGATATGACTCAAATACTTATACTGGATTCCACAATCCATTTTTACAGTACCTCTGGTTAGAACTTATGAACTCATAATCCGACTTAATGGAAATTTTATAAGGTGGAATAGTGCCTGGATAAACAGTGCCATAGCTCTCTGACATTTCATAAAACTTCACCTTTATATAAAAGCAGGAAAGAAAATGAGTTCCTATGATCACAAAACTGAGTTTGATTGAAGGAAGTTAGAATAAGAGTTTCACAAAGTGGCTTTCATGAAAATAGTACAGAAATGTTTCATGGTCAAGTAAGTTTTGGAAATGCTTCATGCTCTAATTGCCTGTAAGATCCACATTGTACACTGGTATATTCAAGTAAGAAGGTCTTTGAAAAATGTTTCATTCAATGTTGTTTCTCTGTAATGTTGATGAGATACTATAGGAACTTAACTCTTGTTTATATCAATTAGCCTATGGTAAAGTTGATTTTGTTATATGTTGTTTTACTTAAAGTTGCAGAACCTATTGATATTTTGTTAATATCACGATTTGTTGAAATGGTGACATATCTTAGGGTGACTAACTTATCTTGGTTTGCCCAGGACTTTCCTGGTTGTAGCCCAGAAAGTTCTGTATCCCAGTGAACTTTTCAGTCCCTGCCAACCCGGGATGATTGGCCATCCTACATCCGGATGTGTCCATATACTGTGTAATTCAAAGTATTTGGCACTTCAGCAAAATTGCAATTTAGGGTATTTAATGAGTACCTATTTATTGAGCATCTCTCTGTGGCAAACAAAATTAACTCCTTACTTTCATGGAGCTTATATTGGTGGGAAAATGGGAAGAGAAAGGAGCTGATAATAGGCAAGTAACACATGTAAGTTTCAAATAGTTTCAATGCTATGAAGAAAATAAAACTTAGTAATGGATAGAGTACCTAAGGGTTATCCAAGAATGTGACAAGGATGTGACTACTGGACTGAGATTTGAATGATGAAAAGAAGGCAGCCAGGCAAAGTACTGAACAATGAGAGAAGAGCCGTGAAGCAGGTTCATCTATGTACTAAATCAAAGGGAAAAGTGGGAAGTAGGAGAGATGGTAGAAGATAGATCAGATTAGGCCTTTTAAGCCATGGAAAGGAGTGTGGATTTTTAAAATTGATTTTAGTGAGAGAAAGGGAGAGAGATAGAGAAACATTGCTGTGAGAGAAACATCAGTTGGTTGCTTCCCACATGTGCCCTGACTGGGGATCAAACTCACAACCTACCTGGATATGTGCTCTGACCAGGTGTACAGGATGATGATCCAACCAACTAGACCATAACAACCAGGGCAAAATTGTGGGTTTTATTCTAAATGCAACGAGAGGGTATTTAAGCAAATGAATGACATATTCTGATATACATTTTTTAAAAAATCACTCTTGTCCTATTTGTAGGGAACAAGAGCAGAAGAAAGAAGCCCACTGAGGAGGCTATGGCAGTCATTTGGGACCGACATCATGGTACAGTGCACTAGGGTAGTGGCAGTAAAGGTGGTGAAAGGCAATCTGGTTAAGAATACGTATTCTGGAGACAGATCAGACAACATGCGCTGACAGATTGGATGTGCGATGTGAAAAGAGCAATTATGAATGACTGCTAGGGTTTTTGCCTTATAGGGTAGATTAAAGTGTCATTAACTAAAAAGGCAACCAACCCAATGGGAGGTGATATTTGTAAATAACAGCTCTGACAAGTGGTTAATACCCAAAATATATAAAGACTCATACAACTCAAAAACAAACAATGCAATTTAAAAACGTGCAGAGGGCCCGGCCGGTGTGACTCAGTGGTTGAGCATTGACCCATGCACCAAGAGATTGCCGGTTCAATTCCTGGTCAGTGCACTTGCCCAGGTTGTGGGCCCAATCCCCAGTGGGGGTGGGGGGGCATGCAAAACGTGGCCAATCGATGTTCTCATCAATGTTTCTATCTCCCTCTCCCTCTCCCTTCCTCTGTCTCTCAAAATCAAGAAAGAACTTTAAAAATGGGCAGAGGACCTGAATAGACATGTCTGCCAAGAAGACATACAAATGGCCAACAGATATATGAAAAGATGCTCAACTTCACCTGCTATTAGGGATATGCAAATCAAAACTAAAATGAGTTACCACCTCATACCTGTAGAATGGCTATTACGAATAAGACAAGTAATGACAAATAGAGAGGTTGTAGGGAAAAAGGAACCTGTCTGATAGCCTGGGAACTGGCGCCAGGCAAACTGTTCAGCCGTTACCTCGCTTACCCAACCCAGACTCCCACCCTGTTTCAGGAACTGTTTGCCCCGAACTCATAGATCAACTCCTGTCCCATTCTCCTGTCCTAGTCCAGGAACTGTTTGCTCCGGGACAATAGACTCACATTCCAGGGGCCCCCATGCGTAGCCCCTCAGGACCTAACCCTAACAACAGGTTCCCGCTGCCATAGGCGCAGATATAAAATTCACAAACCCCAGCATCGGGCGCGGCTTCTTGGACTCGACCCCCGGAGTCTGTGAACCCGCCCGGAGTGTACCCAATAAGGCCTGATTTCTGCTTATTCAGCTGTTTGGCTCTTCGGTTTCTTCCCACCTCCCACCGGCGGCGCCTGGCTACCTTACAGAACCCTCATTCAGTGCTGGTGGGAATGTAAACTGGTACAGCCACTATGGAGAATAGTATGGCGGTTCTTCAAAAAAAATTGAAGAGAGCTAGCATGTGATCCAGCAATACCTCTTCTGGGTCTCTACCTGAAAAACTTGAAAACATATTCAGAGACTTCCGGTCAAGATGGCAGCGTAGGTAAATGCGGTATCGCGTCCTCCCACAACCACATCAAAGCTACAACTAAACTACAGAACAACCATCATTCAAAACCACCTGAAATCAAGTTGAATGGAAGTCCTACAACTAAAAAATTAAAGAAGCAGCTGCATCAAGACTGGTAGGAGGGGCAGAGGCGCTACTGGCTGGTCCATACCCACGTGTGGCAGATAAGAATTAGGAGGATACTGCGGCTGGGAAGGTCTTCCCTGAGGATTTAGGGGGTCTCCGTCCCACACCAGGTGCCCTGCTCAGGGTTCCAGTTCCAGAAGTCCCCATAACTTCTGGCTGGAAAAACCAGTGGGAACTGAGGCTCAGGGAGGCTGAGGCAGCTGAAGCCCCAGGAAACTCCTCTTAAAGGGCCTGGGTACGGACTTATCAGACTCTCTCCTCTAAGCTTGCAGGGGAGGCAGCCCAAGGAGCGCCAGAGACATACAGGGAGGAACTGAGCTGTTTGGCATTGGAGGGAAGGCTGGAGAGGGGGCTTTCTCTGGGACAGACGTGCTTTCAGAGGCCTTTGTTCCTTTGGTGAGCTCTTCCCCGGGGTGGGGGGGGTGGGGGGCAGAGAGTTGCCGTATCTGGGACTCCAGCAACCTGGCTCACACCTTTGCCCCGCCCTGGTTATTCCCTGAGGCCCCGCCCCATCCAACTTTCAGGCCCACCCAAGCTGTTGCCAATTGCTTAACCATTGGATTGGCCTATCTTGGATCCTGCTTCAGGTTTTCCTAAATTCTTTCTAACAAGCAGCATCTGGTCTCAGCCCCGTACCTCTCGTTAAGTAATACACAGAAACAAACACAGGGAGGCAGCCAAAATGAGGAGACAAAGAAACAGGTCCCAAATGAAAGAATAGAACAAAACCCCAAGAAAAGAACTAAGCGAAAGGGAGATAAGCAACCTAACAGATGCTGAGTTCAAAATACTGCTTATAAGGATGTTCAATGAACTTAGTGAGGGCCTCAAGACCATAAAAAAGGACTGGTCAGAAATGAAGGATGCACAGTCAGAAATGAAGGAGGCACTAACTGAAATAAAGAATAATTTACACAGATTCAATAGTAGAGTAGGTAAAGCCAAGAAGCAAACCATTGATTTGGAATATAAGGAAGCAAAAAACACCCAATCAGAACAGCAAAAAGAAAAAAGAATCCAAAAAGTGAGGAGAATGTAAGGAGCCTCTGGACAACTTTAAGCGTGCCAACATTCGCAACTTGGGGGCGCCAGAAGGAGAAGAGAGAGAACAAGAAATCGAAAACCTATTTGAAACAATAATGGCAGAAAACTTCCCTAACTTGGTGAAGGAAACAGACATACACGTCCAGAAAGCACAGAGAGTCCCAAACAAGATGAACCCCAAGAGGCCCACACCAAGACACATCATCATCAAAATGCAAAAGGTTCAAGACAGAATCTTCAAAACAGCAAGTGAAAAGCAGTTAGTTACCTACAAGGAGCTCCCATATGACTATTAGCTGATTTCTCAAAAGAAACTTTACAGGCCAGAAGGGAGTGGCAAGAAATATTCGGAGTGATGAAAAGCAAGAACCTACAACTAAGATTACTCTATCCTGCAAAGCTGTCATTTAGAATCGATGGCCATATAAAGAGTTTCCCAGACAAGGAAGAGCTAAAGGAGTTCATCATCACCAAACCACTATTATATGAAATGTTGAAGGGTCTTCTTGAATAAAAAGATAAAAAATATGAACAAACAAAATGGCAATGAATACATAGCTATCAACAACTGAATCTACAAACAAAATGAACAAACAGAACAGAAACATTCTCATAGATACAGAGAACATTTTGTTGGTTGCCAGATGGGAGGGGGGTTGGGGGAATGGGTAAAAAAGGTAAAGGGACTAAAAAGTACAAATTGGTCGCTAGACTGACAAACCTCAAAGAGAAGGGGGGTGAGGGTGGGAAGAAATAAACCAAAGAACTTATATGCATATATGCATAACCAATGGACACAGACAACAGTGTGGGAAAAGGTGGAAGGGGGGCAGCAGTGGGGAGGAGGGGATCAATGGGGGAAAAATGAGGAACATCTGTAATACATTCAACAATAAACATAAAAAAAACTTAATGCAAATATAAGCAAAAAAAACCCCAACAACAACATATTCACAAAGACTCATGCGCCCTTATATTTATTGGAGCACTGTTTACAGTGGACAAGACGTGGAAACAACCAAAGTGTCTTTCAATAGAGGACAGGATAAAGATATGGAACATATATACTATGGAATAGTACTCAGCCCTAAGAAAAGATGAAATACTGCCATTTGTGACAACGTGGATGGACCTTAAGCAAAATTTTAAAAAGCTAAAAACCATATGATTTCACTCATATGTGGGATACAAAACTGAAACTTATAGATACAGATAACAGTATGGTGGTTACCAGAGGGAAGGGTGTGGGGGATAGTATAAGGTAAAGGGGCCAAATAGATGGTGATGGAATATGATTTGACTTTGGGTGGTGGGTACACATGATACAGATCATGTATCATAGAAATGTATGCTTGAAATTAATGTCACCCCAATAAATTTTTTTTAAGTGTCATTAACTGAGATGGGGAAAAGTTAAGGAGAAGCTAGAATCGAGTTCTATAGGACACTTTATCTTTGAGGTGCCTATTATGGACAACTAGAGATAACCAGTAGGCAGTCTGATATATGGGACTAGAGCTCAAGAGAGATCAGGGCTGGAATACAAATTTAGGAATCTTAAAGCTAGACATGGTATTTACAAAGGTGAAACTGGACAAAGTGGAAAAGCTGGTTAGAAGATCAAGGCCTGAGGCACTTTCCCATAGAGGCTAGAGAGTGGAGGAGGAGCTGGGAACCAACACACAAAAACCAACAAACTGGCTACTACAGAAGAGTAAGGAAGAAGAAAAACAGACCATGTAGTATTTTAGAAGCCAACTGAAAACATTGTTTCAAGAAGAGAGTGGTTAAGTGGATCAGATGTTAATTGTTGGTCTGAAAAGATGAGGACAGATAATTGATCATTTCCCCTGGATTTTCTGGCATTGATTTTTTTAAAAAGTTGGCATAATACTCATATAAAAAAATGATCCTACAATTCTCTAAAATTGTAGTGTTCATTATTCAGAGGTGAATAAAAACTTTATTTAAGAAGAATACTCGTTCTTCAGAACAAAATAATAGGAATATAGCCTGGAATAGAGATGGATAGCAAAAGTGAACAGAAAAATTAAGATGCTCAGTTTTTTTAAAAAAAAATCTTTAAATATTTTATTAAAGAACAGCTATTTTAGAATCTAAAGACACTCAAGCACTGAACTAGTCATAGAGTTTCTATACAACTAAAGAACTTGATATCAAACGGACAAAAATAGTACAGAAGACACATATATTTTAAAAAATCCATCTCTAGAAAGCAGGTCAGATGGACTCAAAGACCGCACTGAATGTAGGAAGCAACATATAGCCTTCTGCTGGGGCATAAAAGTAGGAACCAGTACATGCAGTCAAGAAAAAGTTCTTTTGCCTCCTGTTCTAAATGCTTGCCTTTAGTCTGGGTTCAGAGAAAGATCCTGATCATTTGAACTGGTTATCAATCAAAGTCCCCTTCATTTTCGCTTTGTTGGCTTCCAGTTCAGCCAGCTCTTGCAGGCGCCTTTTGTTCATGCCTGTGCGTTCCAGCTGTTTCTCAATCACTTTGGCATTCTGTGCATATGAGTCAGCAACTTCCCTAGCCTCAATCTCCTCTTCCTCTTCATCAATAGTAGACACAGTGACAGAGCTGAATTTACCCATGTCTTTAGTCCTTTTGGTCATCATCACCTTCTTAGGAGGCTCTCGCTTCTGAGTATATATATTCATTTTCCCAAAACCCTGGCCAAACTTGACTATTGCTCCATCCACAATGAAGGTCACGGGAGCATTCTTTGGCTGGGTCTGGTAGAAGAGTGGCAGTCCACACTTTGCACACTTCTTCCTGTACTGTCGTTCAATGCCTTCAGGCCTTCGAAGATACATAGTTTCCTGGTCTTCTGTGTTACAAAACTTGTGGGCATGTTTGGCAGCATCAATCACCCGGGCCCTATCCCGGGGCCTCATGGGCAGTTTTTCCAACTGACAATCCAGCACTAGAACCATCTGGCCACACAAACAGTAGTAGACGTGAAGGGGCTTCTCACTGTCATCATATTCCTCCCGGTCCCGGGTGTAGGAGCAGACAACTGACCGGGACACAACTTTAGGCATAGTTCACAGATGTCCATAAACTCAACGCCAAAAATAAGGGTCTCCCAGAGATCAAGATGACTCACTTCTGATTGAAGGTGCAAATCAAAGTGGTAAGAATCTTCAGAATAAAGTTAAAAAGTAAGGGATTAGGGGAAAATACAAATATTTACAAAAACCATACAAATACAGTTTACAAAAAGGGTGTTAGTAGTGATATATTAAAAATTTAGCAAATTAATAATAGATAATTACCTTATTACAAAAATGAACAAAGGATATAAATAGGAAATTCACAAAAAGAAATACAAATGTCCAATAAGTATACTTAAGATGTACACTGATATTGTAAAAACAACACAACCAACCACAACCTAATCAAAGAAACTATATCTAAAACATTATTTCATTATTAAAAAAACAATGGGAATTTTAAAAGGGCTGGATTAGAAGACCTGGAAACATATGTCACAAAATATTAACAGTAGTTAAGAGAGATGGTGAGATGTTCACTGATTTTAATTTTCTTTTCTCCTTTTATACTTTTTTCTGCTCTTTCTAGAGTTCCATGTACCGAGCTTTTATTTTATTTACAAAGCAATTGCTTAGAATTTGGCAGTTTAGTGTGAACCCCAGGAGTTAACACTTGTAAAATATTGATGATGTCACATTTTCATTTCTGCAGCAGAACCGCAAGATTCTCAGCTATAGGTCAAGCTGTTATGCCAGTTTCAGTAGGTTAAGCACTTCTCCCTTTCTAGTGTTTTTTTCACTTTGGCCCCTACCACAAAAGGCAGGGGAATAAAAAATAAAATGTCTTTGGACATTGGTTGGCATATCTGCTAAAAAGTTTCATATAGGAGGCTTTCCTATTATGGGCACATTTCACTTCGGGCTCCTGCTGCTCCTAGCACAGGAGAAAGGCACTGCAGTGTGGGCTGCTCTCGATTCCCACGGAAAGTTTTGACAGTAGGCACGACCCTGGGGGTGTTGCCTCATATCACATATGAAATACGTCATGAGTTCAGTAACTACTCCTGTGCACACACAACATGTGCACAGAGCAGTCTTCAGTATTCTGTCCCCCATCCCACCACCTTTTATCCCCGACCACTTTAAGTTTTGACTTCAGAGTCCAAACTCGGACTATTTTTCCCCTTCTAAGGGAGAGAATTTCAGAGAAACGTACTGGGAACACGGATACGAGGTAGGGTTAGGAACCCACGTCTTCCTACAGGAGCCCCACTGGGATGTCGTTCTGAGGTGTCCACGCTCCTCCTGCCCAAGCCAAGTGTCAGGTCCCCGCCGCCCTACCGGTTCCCTCGGCTCCCGCGTAGCGCCGTCCTCGCCCCGACCCCGCACCGCCTCAGGGCGTGACGTCACCGCGCGCGCCGAGCGCCGTGCGCCGTGCGCCGCGCCTCCTGTCAGAGGCAGCCATTGTTCCGCCGGCCGCGCAGGCTGCTCGGGGGCTGGGCTGGTCCTCCCCGCCTTTCCACGTCCCTGCCCCCCTGAAAGCTGGGAGAGGGGGCCAGTCCCTCTGTGTACTCTGAGGTTCTCGGGTGCAGGCCACCATGAGCAAACGGAAAGCGCCACAGGAGACTCTCAACGGGGGAATCACCGACATGCTCACAGGTGAGCCCCGCGCCGGGGGCCGCGGCTTTCTTCTTTCCTCCCACCCCATGCCCTCCCTACCTATCCAGTTCAGCAGCCCGGTGGATGGGATCGGGCCCTGGCAGCGGCTAGTCTGCCGCGCGGGTCTTCCTTCCGCGCCCGCGGCGGGTGGCTGACGGTCAGCCCTGCCGGGGGTTCTGTCACCGCTTGGGCTGCCTTTGGCCTGGCCGGCGGAGAAGAGAGGGGTTCGCCGTACTTTTCAGAGGCTCTTAACGTCCCCTTATGGGAAACTAGGGGTTCTTGTTTGTTTTACTCGGGGTTCTTGTTCACCCGAGTCTCTTGTTGCCTTTTCAGAACTCGCGAACTTTGAGAAGAACGTGAACCAGGCGATCCACAAATACAACGCGTACAGGTGGGCCGTGCGGCATTCCCTGGAAACAGGCGTTCGGGGGGCTGTGGCAGCTGGAAGGGCTGAGCAGCCCGTGTGCATTTGGGCCATCTTCAAGAGGAGGGGGAAAAGCGAGAACTGAGGGCATTGACTCCGTAGTGGTACCTTCCTGCAGTATTTCTGGGAGAACTTGGCCAGAGCTCTGTCGAATCAATTCTGGCCAGTTCCCGGTTCTGACTGAAAACAGGCAGAGTTCCCGTCGTTAAACATGAATCACTGAAAATACAGTTTGATTTTAAACCATAATGAAAGACAGTGGATGAGGTCTGTGAAATAGACGTGGTTCAAGGAATCACATTTTCCCATCTGGCTGGTCTGTGTCTTATCCTGTCACCTTTTTGGATCCCATCCTTGTTCATCTCCTAGACATTTTCCCCACATCCACCTGCTTCTGATCCTTAGCCTAGAAGCACATCCTAATCCCTCAGCTCTTAAAAGCAGAAACAAAGCAATCTTCTTAACTTCCCTCTAGCAGAGTATCATATCCCCTTTCTCCATTTTAAAGTTATCCCTCTTGAGTAATCTGTGTTCCTTGCCTGGATTTCTTACTCCCTAGTCTTTTCTTATCTCATTGCAGTGTAACTTCCATTCTATCTCCCTTCTGAAAATGCGGTTGCCTACATCTCTTCTTATTGGACTCTCAGTGGCATTCACTGCTCGCTCATTCTATTCACGTCTTACCCTTGACTTCCTGATGGCGCAGCCTTCTGTTCTTTCACCGCTTCTGTCTTACCTTTTAATGTTGGTGGTTCCCAGAGGTCTGCCCTTCACTCTCTCTCTCACTTTCTTGGCAGTCTCAACATTCCTGGTGGCTTTGGATACTGGTTATGTCTGTGACTCCAAATATGTATCTCACTGGGCTTTTCTACAGATTTTTCCATCTGTATCCCTTTATTTTTACCATTTCAAAACTAAACTCCACTCCTTCCTTCCCTTCCCAACCAGCATAATTAAAAACTGATTATACTCTCTCCTTTACCTCCTATGACTTCCTATGTAAAATAATTGTACTATCATCCACACATTTGATGATCTAGAAATCTGAGAGATATTCAGCACTATAATTTGAGTCACAGCAGGCTTCAGAGAGGAAATGTTTAGTCTTGTATGAACCCACCAAAGGATAAGTGAAGGGGAAAACAATCTAGAGATAGAACGCAAAGTATGCCAAGGCATTGAGACATGAAAGGGTATAGCGTTTTCTAGTAAGTCAGTAATTCAGTTTGCTTAAGGGGCATGGTCTGAATGGAAAATAAGTCTGGAAAAGCAGGTAACACCCCTGCATGCTCTTCCCTTTCCTGATAACATTTCTCTTTGTGGCCAAAATATTCTTTTGAAAATAGTTATATGATCTTGTCATTCTTCCATATCAAATAATTAAATATTTATTCTTCAGTTTGATAAAGCCCAAATGCATTGTGGCATACAAAAGGCCTTTCATGATCTGATTCTTCTTCCCTTTGAGGCTTTGCCCCATAGTGCCAATTATCTGGAACTACTTGCCTTTACTGAAGCAGTTTCCTCCACAGACTATCCAATATTTATGCTTTAGACTTAGCTGTATTATGGCTTTTTATCAGCATCAGTCCTAACCACATTTAGCATTGAAATTGTAGACAGGATACCATTGGTGTGCTCCTAGGCTGTACCCAATCTGACACAAGATTACTGAACTGGATGTGTGGAGATGGGCAAGAATTACAGGTCATTCTGCCTTATGTGGAACTGAAATAGGAGCAATGAAAGAAAGAAAAAAAGAACTTTTATTAAGGACATAGGGGAATGCAGTTTTAAACCATAAATTTAAAAATAGTTACTTATTAGCCAGTTGGGTACCTAGTAGTCTGAATGCTAAGTGGCACATTTTTATAAAAGAGTGTTATGAATAATTTCTAAAAAGTAGCCATTAAAAAAAAAGGCCCAATGGTAGTTTCCACTTCATCTCAAAAAGGAAATGGTTTCCTGAATCTCCCTGGTTTTACATATACAGTTAATATCATATTATCCTCAATGTGAGGATTTTCTTTCTTTTAATTTATTTATGTAAAATATTTTTTTTATTTTTCAGTTATAGTTGATGTACAATATAATATGAGTTTCAGGTGTACTTCAGACATATAACTTGCTAAGTGATCATCCCAATGTACCATATCCATGTGGCACCATACATAGTTAGTAAAATATTATTGACTATATTCCCTTTGTTGCACTTTACGTACTTATGACTGTTCTGTAACTATCAATTTGTACTTCTTAATCCCTTCACCTTTTTCACTCATTCTTTCACTCCACTCCCATCTAGCAACTGTCAAAATGTTCACTGTATCGGCGAGTCTGTTTCTGTTCTGCTTGTTCATTTTGTTTTTCAGATTCAATTGTTGATAGATATGTACTTATTGTCATTTTATTGTTCATATTTTTATTTATTTTTTGTAAAACTACATCTTCTAGATAGAGTGGACGGGAGGGAAAGAGAGAGAGAGAGAAAAACATTGATGGTGAGAAAGACACATAGATTGGCTGCCTCCTGCATGACCCTGACTGGGGCTAGGGATCAAACCCACAACCCAGGTACATGCCCTTGACTGGGAATCGAACATGCAACCCTCTGGTTCCTGGACCAATGCTCTAACTGCTGAGCCAAACCAGCCAGGGCTCCCTTTAGCATTTCATATAATACTGGGTTGGTAGTGATGAACTCCTTTAACTTTTTCTTGTCTGGGAAGCTCTTTATTTGTCCTTCAATTCTCATTGATAGCTTTACTGGGTAATCTTGGTTGTAGGTCCTTGCTTTTCATCACTTTGAATATTTCTTGCCAATCCCTATGGCCTACAAATTTTCTGTTGAGAAATCAGCTGACAGTCTTATGGGAGCTCCCTTGTAGGTAACTAACTGCTTTTCTCTTGCTGCTTTTAAGTTTCTCTCTTTGTCTTTAATCTTTTGCATTTTAATTATGATGTGTGCCTTTTTGGGTTCATTTTGTTTGGGACACTTTGTGCTTCCTGCACTTGCATGTCTATTTCCTTCACCAGGTTAGAGAAGTTTTCTGTCATTATTTTTTCAAATAGGTTTTCAACTTCCTGCTCTCCCTCTTGAAGAGAGAGCCCCTCCCCCTCCCCATGGTGCAAATGTTGGTATGCTTGAAGTTGTCCCTTACACTGTTCTTGCTTTTATTTTTATTTATTATTATTATTATTACTGTTATTTTTATTTTTTTGCTGTTCTGATAGGGTGTTTTTGGCTTCCTTATATTCCAAATTGCTGAATTGATTCTTGGCTTTATCTACTATACTCTTGATTCACTGTAAATTATTCTTCATTTCAGTTAGTGTATTCTTCATTTATGACTGGTTCTTTTTTATTATTTCCATGTCTTTTTTTTATGCTGTTGAAGTTCTCACTAAGTCATTGAGCATCCTTATAATCAGTGTTTTGAAATCTGCATCTAGCCCTGGCCGATTTGGCTCAGTGGATGGAGCGTTGGCCTGCGGACCAGATAGTCCCAGGTTTGGTTCCTGCTAGGGGCACGTACCAAAAAAAATATCTTGCGCCCTGGCTGGTTTTGCTCAGTGGTTAGAGCATTGGCCCGTTCTGGAGAGACCTGGGTTCGGTTCCTGCTAAGGGCATGTACCTTGGTTGCAGTTTGTCCCCCCAGCCCTGGTTGGGTTGTGTGGGTGGCAACCACTCGATATGTCCCTTTCACATTGATGTTTCTCTCTCTCTCTCTCTCTCTCCCTCCCACTCTATCTGAACAAAATACTGAAAAATGTCCTCGGGTGAGGATAAAAAAAAAGAAATTTGCATCTAGTACATTGCTTATCTCTATTTTATTTAGTTTTTTTTTCTGGAGTTCTATTTTTTTCATTTGGGACATGTTTCTTTGTTTGCTTATTTTGGAGCCTCCCTGTGTTTGTTTCTTTGTATTAGGTAGAGCTGCTGTGTCCCCCAAGTTTGGTAGAGTGGCCTAATGTAGTACATGTCCTGTAGGGTCCAGTGGCGCAGCCTCCCTGTTCACCAGAGCTGGGCACTCCAGGTGTGCCCTCCCCTCCCCTCGTGGGCTGTGTACACCCTCCAGTTGTAGTTGAGCCTTGATTGCTGTTGGCATGTCAATGGGAAGGAGTTACCACCGCGTTGATCTGCTGTAAGAACTGGCTTCGACCACTGTGGAGGATCAGCTGTGCAAGGGTCCACCCCATGGAGCAGGATTTACTTCAGTGGGACTCTGGTACCCGCTGGTCTGCCCCTTGAGTGTGTCGCTTATGAAGGTGGTTGGTGATACTTCAAAGTGGTCTGAAGCTGTCCACCTGTTTTGATGACTCTAAGGCCTTCCAGAAGATTAGGTCAAAGTCAGCTGCCACCTGTGTTCCGCTGGGGGCCACCTTGCATGAAATACAAAGTGATCTGCAGATGGCTGCTACTTGTTTTGGGCTTGGAGGTGCCCAAGAGAGGCCAAGCTTTGAACCAAGGCTGGTTGCCACTAGAGTCAGGCCTGGAGCCACTTAGCAAAGGGTACGGGTCATGGTGAGGCTAGGTGCTGTTTGTTTGAGAGAAAGCATGAGCCAAGTCGGGCCATTCCTATAGAAAAGCCACTGGAAACAGCTTTGGTGGACCTATACAATTGGTGGAGCAGAGTCTCAGGGAATCACCAGGGTGGGCAAGCAGTGATAGCCAGGTTGATGGAAACGCCGATATGCCAATGCCTGCCGGCTCTGTGGGGAGAGGGCTCAGCAGATGACCTATGCCAGCACTTCTGTCTGGGAGAAAGCTGTCTCTCTGGCCCTCGCCCTGATGCCAGACAATTTAGTTCCTCCCTGTATGTCCCTGGTGCCCTTTGAGCTGCTGCCCCAGTATTGGTGCTTAGAGGGAGTCTGTGTGGGCCCTTTAAGAGGAATGTCTGAAACCCTGGCAGCCCTTTGTCTCACTCAGCCACTGGATTTTACAGCCAGAAATTGTGGGCACTTCTCTTTCTGGCACTGGAACCCTGGGCTGGGGGGAATTTTTTTGTTAATCCTCACCCAAGGATACTTTTCCATTGATTTTTAGAGGGAGTGGAAGGGAGGGAGGGAGAGAGAGAGAGAAAGTAACGATGTGAGAGAGACACATTAATTGGCTGCCTTCTGCATGACCCTGACTGAGGCTAGGGACTGAACCCACAATCCAGGCACATGCCCCTGAACGGAATCGAACCCACGACCCTTTGCTCCACAGGCTGATGCCCCAACCACTGAGCCAAACCGACCAGGGCCCTCCTACCAGTCTTAAGGTGGCTTCTTCTATAGTATATCCTTAGTTGTAGGACTTCTGTTCAGCTAGATTTTAGGCAGTTCTGAATGATGGTTGTTCTGTAGTTTAGTTGTAATTTTGATGTCTCAAATGTGAGGATTTTCAAGATATACTTCTAAAAATTAGAGGTATGTAGTCTCTAAGCTTAGCTGTGTTTTTTTTTTTGTAAATGTTACACCGATGTGGAAAATGAATTATCTCCGTGAAAGTTTAAGCTGCATATTTGCTTGTATGTGTATTCCAGTTTAAGAAAAATTAGGACCTTCCTGGATTTCTAATTTCTTTTTTTTTCTTCTTCTAGAAAAGCGGCATCTGTGATAGCAAAGTACCCACACAAAATAAAGAGTGGAGCAGAAGCTAAGAAACTGGTAAGTTTAGTGAGCAAGTTGATCGAAGAGTTCACACATGTATGGATTTGGTGGGCTCCCATAAAACTGTATTTGCCTCTTTGAAACTGCCTTGACCCACACAGATTTTACTGTTACTGATTTCTTGGAATAATATTTATTCTGTTTCAGGCATACTTTTTCAAGTTCAAAATGTTTTGATTGGGGGAGGGTGGGTTTAAAAAATTTTAACCATGTATAATTACAGTTTTCTTTCTCTACTTTCTCCATGTATACATGTACTCATTCATTTTCAGTTTGAGTATAGTCCTGAAGAAGAATATGGTGACAGAGTGATACCAGCATATCTGGTCTCCAGCATATCTGGTCTCCAGCTACCTTTTTCTGATCCCCAGGCATAGGAACTTATGTGAGTTAGTGTTCCCAAAGAAATCTTACCTGTTAATAGGCACATGATTAAACCCCTTTGTTGTATATTATGGCATTAAGCCCTGTCCTCTGTAATTTCCATAAAGCCCTGTATGCTAATATTGTCATGATTTTTAGAGGTGACATCTCTTGGTAATTTGTAATAGTATTGTTAAGAATATCCTGGGAAAATTTGCCTCTTGATAATCAGATTATGTTCTCATCTAAATCTCACTAAAAGATTCCAAGTTTTTCAAAATTAAGAGTCATACTTTATTCATTTTTTTTTTTCCTTTTATTATTTTTTAATTTTCATCCGAGGATATGCTTACTGATTTTAGAGAGAGGAGATGGGAGAGAGAGAAACAGCGATGTGGGAGAGAACATCTGTTGGTTGCCTTCCATATGTGCCCTGACCTGGAATCAAACCTGCAACCTTTTGGTTTACAGGACATTGCTCCAACCACTGAGTCATGTTGGCCAGGGCTCATTCATTTTTTTCTTGAAGATGTCAAACTGACATGGCTTTTGCTTAGTACAGGTCCTTCTTCTGTTTTTCTTTATCCATTTGTGTTTCACAAAAGTCCTCTAGAATTTAGGTAAAATCGCCCTGGCCGGTTTGGCTCAGCAGTTAGAGCGTCGGCCTGCGGTCCAGAGAGACCCGGGTTTGGTTCCCGCTAAGGGCACGTACTTCGGTTGCAGTTTGTCCCTGGCCCTGGTTGGTTGTGCGGGTGGCAGCCACTCGATGTGTCCCTTCACGTCGATGTTTCTCTCTCTCTCTCTCCCTCCTTCTCTATCTGTACAAAAAAATGGAAAAATATCCTCGGGTGAGGATAAAAAAAAAGAATTTAGGTAAAATCTAAATATGTTAGATTTTAATTCTAAGTTTCTGTATTGGCAGACTGACCCAGTGTTAACCTCAGGAGCCACTTCTGCTCCCATTCTGTTCCCCTTTAGTCACCTGCATTTCCTTTTTCATGTTAATTGAAAATAGTCCATCATTTATTAGAGGCAGACTTCTGTCAAGCTCTGATGTATTTCATCCCAAATCTGAGCTTATGGTATATATCCCTAAAAAGAACACAGAAGTACCCAAAATTCCTTTTGCATAAGATTAAATTTAATATGCAAATCTCATCTTTATTCCGTTTTACCTTTCTTTTCACTATTATTTTCAAACAGACCTACTTTCTCAATAATTTTAGAAATCTGGAATTTTCAGAATGAGCATTTTGCCTTGTACTTCTTAATGTTAGGTATAGAAAATAGCCTGGGCCTAAATTGCTTTAGGTCATCATGTATCTTCTGACATAGAAAATGAGAAACCTGAACAGTTACCCTTTTCAAATTGATTCTGCTTACTAATATTTTTCATTTCTGTCTGGTATTTGCTATTTTCAGAACTTGAACATACATTCAGTAGTCTTGGGACACTTACTAAATATTAAATAAATCAAGAATAAAAAAGGGTAAAAAACACAAAGAAAAATACCAAATAAAACAAAACAGATAAACAAAAAGGATATAGCAGGGTGAACTTAGGGCTAAGAGATGATAGGAATGCCTGGCTCACTTGTTGTGCATGGTAAACATTTAACTATAAGCACAAAAAAGTTTAACTTCACTAATAATCAGAGTTGTAAATTAAAACAAGGTGCTGTATAGTGCCTATTAAATTATCAAGTATAGTATGCAGTATGTATAAAGGTGTGGAAAAAAAGACACTAATTTACTGCTGATCAAAATGTTGGTTGTTAATAGCCTTTCTGAAGGATAATGTGGCAGAATGTTGGCAAAATGTATATATTCTTTGTTCCAGCAATTCCAATTTGAGGAATTTATACTAAGGAAACCAGTAGAGATATGTGCACACAAAGATTCATTTGTTCATCATTTTTGAGCACCTATATGTCAGGTATTCATCCAGGTGCTAGGGATAAAGCAGTGAAAAGATAGGATCTCTGCTCTCCTAAAGCTTATATTCTAGAGCAGTGCTGTCCAGTATGGTAACCATGAACCACATTTGGCTAGTGAGCTCATGAAATGTGGCTAGTGTAACTGAGCAATTGAATTTTTATTTTAATTAAGCTTAGAATTGTCACTTGTGACTGCTGGCTGCCATGTTGGACTATGCAGTTCTAGAGTAGTGGTTCTTAAATTGTGGTACCTAGACTAGCAGCATCAATATCACCTGGGAACTTGTTAGAAATGCAGCCTATTGAATCAGAAATTCTAAGGTGGGACTTGGCATTCTATGTTTTAATGTATCCCCCATGTGATGCTGATATATGCAAAAACTTGAGAATCTCTGTTGTAGAGGAAGTTTATGACAGCCTTGTTATAATATCAAAAATTGGAAACCATCTAAATGTTCATCTGTAGGGGGTATTTGTTAAGTAAATTATGATGCTTTTATACAATGATATGCTATGAAGCCATTAAAGCTATTGTAGTTGTATTTGTTGATATGGAATTTTGTTCACAATGTATTCTTAAGTTGAAATAACATTTGACGAAGCAGTATGATTCTATTATTGTAAGAAAACAATATGTATATACATATATATGTAGTAACTCTGCTTAACTGGTCATGTGAAGATAATTTGGTTTTCATTTCTTATTTTGCACGCTTATATTTTAGTGATTTGTTAAACATTATATTTATATGACTTCTATATTTAAAATTTTATATGTAGCCTGGAGTAGGAACAAAAATTGCTGAAAAGATCGATGAGTTTTTAGCAACTGGAAAATTACGTAAACTGGAAAAGGTAAAATTTTAACTTACTTATTTGATTGTGTGTCTATTTTTGTGGCAGTTATCATGGAGCACTATTGCAGGGTGATTGATGTCACTCACTCTAGTGAGACTTAGAAGGAAAAGAGAAGAGAGGAATTTATGGCTTTAAGTGTTCTATTTTTTTTTAAATTTGAATATTCTATAAAATGTTCACGTATTTTATGTAGTACTTACAAGACTATTAGCGTATATGATAGAATTATTTCCATATTTGTAGTACCATTCGGAGGGAGATAATAAACTTTGACCAGAAGATGTAATCTTTTAGAATTTCTGTGCTTAAACTCTCCCAAGCATTTTTATGGTCTTATTTTACCATGATAATAGTAGTTATATCACTTCTGGTCTTTTATGAATGTCTTTTAAGAGTATAGGTTACATATGAATACTTCTGTAAGGGTTATCCAGGCACATGTAAGTGATTCTTAGGTCTCTTAGCAGATTGATGTATTTCCCATAAGATTATCTGAAGCATTGAAGCATTCCTAAATCATTGCTGTGTTTTATTTTTTGCTTAAAGATTCGCCAGGATGATACAAGTTCATCCATCAATTTCCTGACTCGAGTTACTGGCATTGGGTAAGAAATTTTATTTTTTATTTATTTATTTTTATTCTCACCCGAGAACATTTTTTGATATTTTGTTCAGATAGAGTAGGAGGGAGAGAGAGAGAGAGACATCGATGTGAAAGGGACACATCGAGTGGTTGCCACCCACCCGACCCAACCATGGCCGGGGACAAACTGCAACTGAGGTACATGCCCTTAGCAGGAACTGAACCCGGGTCTCTCCGGACTGCAGGCCGACTCTAACCGCTGAGCCAAACCAGCCAGGGCAGAATTTTTTTTTTTAAATCTTCACCTGAGGATATGTTTTTATTGATTTAAAGGGGGGGGGCACCGATGTGAGAGAGAAACATTGAACAGTTACCTCCCGTACACGTACCCACCCCGACTAAAATCTTAGGTATGTGCCCTGACCAGGAATCGAGCTGGCAACCTTTTAGTGTATGGGATGACTCTCCAATCAGCTATGCCACCTGGCCAGGGCAAGAACTATTTTTTAAACAGACACAATAGTAGGATTAGTTTAATTTTTTTATGTCAGCCAAACTAAAGTACGTGCTGTTTCCCTTCAAAACCTGTACCTTTCCACCTCTGTACCTTTGCCTATACTCTTTCATGGCTTACTTGTTGGGCTGGTTCTCTAGATGATGCCTCTACTGTCAAAGCCCCATCCAAGGCAAATGTTACATTTTTTATGAAACCAGTTTGATTCCCCAGCCAGAAATAATTTCTTCTTTCTCTAAACTCCACTAACACTTGCTCTGTGTACATCTTTTTTTTTTAATTTATTTTTGTTACAGATATTTTTTCTTTTTTCCCCATTGACACCCTCTTCCCCATTCCCCCACCCCATCCCCAGCTTTGTTGTCCATGTTCATCAGTTATGTGTACATGCATATAAGTTCTGTGGTTTATCTCTTCCTTCCCCTCTCCTCCTCTTCTGAGGGTTGTCAGTCTGTACCCTATTTCCACGTCTCTGGGTCTACCCTGTTCCTCAGACTGTTGTGTTCATTATATTCCACAAATAAGTGAGATCATGTGATATTTGTCTTTCTCTGCTTGGCTTGTTTCTCTTAGGATAATACTCTCCAGGTCCCTCCATGTTGTCTCAAAGGATAAGAGATCTTTCTTTCTTACAACTGCATAATACTCTATTGTGTATATGTACCACAGCTTTTTTATCCATTCGTCTACTGATGGACACTTGGGCTGTTTTCAGATCTTAGCTATTGTAAATAGTGCTGCTATGAAGATGGGGGTATATATATTCTTTCTGATTGATGCTTCAGGCTTCTTAGGGTATATTCCTAGAAGTGGAATCATTGGGTCAAATGGCAATTCAATTTTTAATTTTTTGAGGTAACACCATAGTGTTTTCCATAGTAGCTGCACCAGTCTGCATTCCCACCAGCAGTGTACTAGAGTCCTCTTTTCTCTACACCCTCGCCAACGCTTGTTGTTTGATGATTTGTTGATGGTGGCCATTCTGACAGGTGTGAGGTGATACCTCATTTGTGTATATCTTATTGCATCCTCCAGATTAAATCTCGTTGGCCTCTCTGAGCATGATATCTATCTTAAGCATTTAAGGTTTTTTTCATAGCACCTAGCATAGTACATTTTGAATTTGAAATAAGCCTCAAGCATTTTTTAATGAAGGGATCTTTATCTTAACATTTGAACCAGCCCTAGCCAGGTGGCTTGGTTGGTTGGAGGGTCGTCCCATGCACCAGAAGGTTTTGGGTTTGATTCCTGCTCAGGGCACATACCTAGGCTGTGGGTTCAATCTCCAGTTGGGGTGCCTGTGGGACAAGGACAATCAGTGTTTCTCTCTCACATTGATGTTTCTCTCTCTCTCTCTCTCTCTCCTCCCTCCTACCCACCTTCCTTTCTCTCTAAAAGAAATTTTTAAAAAGGGGAGACTTAAAAAAATTGAATTAGCATGAAGGGAGTTTTCTTTGACATTAGATAAAATAAAGATGAACATTGTAATATTAAGGCTGTAATGTTTTACCTAACTCTCATCTTTATGGAGTGAGAATTTCTTTTAGATATACGATGATCCTTTAAATGTCAATTTTTATGAAAGTTACTCTAAAATAGATTAAATTCTTTTTTTTTTTTTTTTTTTTTTTTTATCCTCACCCGAGGACACTTTTTCATTCTTTGTTCAGGTAGAGCAGGAGGGAGAGAGAGAGAGAGAGAGAAACATCGATGTGAAAGGGACACATCGAGTGGCTGCCACCCGCACGACCAACCAGGGCCGGGGACAAACTGCAACCGAGGTACATGCCCTTAGCGGGAACCGAACCCGGGTCTCTCCGGACCGCAGGCCGACGCTCTAACCGCTGAGCCAAACCGGCCAGGGCTAAAATAGATTAAATTCTTAAACCTAGTCTACAGAAAATGAACTTGACTCTTTGGGGACCAAAGGTCGTTATAAAATGTTAGTTAAAAGTTGTTTTACAGGGCATCTGTTAAGTTATTCTCTTTTCCCAGGCAAGAAAGGTAAATACAGAAAGTGGGATAACTATGGCAGAATCAGAATTAGAACTTATGTCTCCCATTTCAGTTCTATTTTTTCTATGCCACATTGCCTTCCTGACATGTCAGTTTCTGTACCACACAGTTTTCGTGAAAAGGTACTTTGTCATTCCAATCTCAGTTTAAATATCTCAGAGGCCTTCCCTCACCACCCAATCTAAAGTAGTACCTAGCTACTCTGTTATATTACTCTATTTTAATTCATCTACCAGATATTTTTCTTTGTTTATATATGTATTTATTGTCTCTCTCTACCTACTGGAATGTAAGGAGATAAGACCTGGCCCTTATTTGTGTTATTCTTGAAGTATTTTTAGCACCTAGAAGTGTATCTGGTATATAATAGACTGTCGGTAAATCTCATGAACAAATTAAGTTTTCAAGTGCCTGTATGTCTTTTATGAATAAAAGACATGAGCATTATGACACCTAGCTGTTGTACATCTTTTTCATGTCTAAGTTTATGGTTATGTTCCTCCATTGAGGCTTCAAGAATTCTTCTCCTTGGATGAAATTGAGTGGTACCAAACTAACCATGTAACATTTTAGCAAGTTTTGTTCAGTTCAATAGTAACTCTTTATGTTTGACAAGAGACGACATAATTGGTTATTTGTTGTAAGAATCCTGAGTTTTGTTTTGCTTTATATTGAGATAATGCATGTCTTTCTTTGTAGTCCATCTGCGGCAAGGAAGTTTGTAGATGAAGGCATTAAAACCTTAGAAGGTGAGTATGTAATTCCAGGTTAAATGTGGTCCTGACAGACTGATCGTGCTCTAACAAACTGGAACTAAAAACAAACAAACAAAAAAAAAAACCCTTTCTCAATTAGTAGATACAAATGATATGATTTCTTTTTAACTCTACAGTAGAGAGTACATATAAAGAGTAGTTTATATTGCCATCTTAAACATGTTTAGATTTGTAACTCAGAAGAAAATCAAGAAGAGCAAGAAGTGGCTTTTGATTTTATGGCAGTTACTTCATTTGCAGATTTTCAGATTATTTAAATTACCTTTGTTTCTTAAATAAAATTTTAGACTTCAAAGTCCTACACATTCAGCTTAAAAGCCAAGTTATATATATTGAGAAAGATTCTGTAAGAGACTTGTAATGCTTATTGAATTTTTGCTTTCAAAGAAGTGATAAAAATAGAGCTAAAGTAATTATGAAACATTTTTCTTAAACCTAATATAGCAATCTTTTAAATATAATTTATTTCTCAATACATTTCAAGGGCATATACTATATATATATATATATATATATATATATATATATATATATATGGATTCTGTTACAGCATACCTGTAGCATTTAGGCTTTAATATTTATGGACTCAACTACTTGTAAACAACCCAAATGGTTAGGTGGACAGGTTTTTAGAGACTGACCTAGGTTTGAATCTGGTCTCCACCACATTATAAGAATGAATGACTGCCCTGGCCTGTTTGGCTCAGCAGTTAGAGTGTCAGCCTGCAGCCGGGTTCAGTTCCTGCTAAGGGCACATACCTCGGTTGCAGTTTGTACTTGGCCCTAGTTGGTCATGTGGGTGGCAGCCACTCAATGTGTCCCTTTCTCATCGATGTTTCTCTCTCTCTCTCTCTCTTCTCCTCTCTCCCTCCCACTCTATCTGAACAAAAAATGGAAAAAAAAAATGTCCTCAGGTGAGGATTAAAAAAAAAAAAAGAATGAATGACTGTGGTGCTTCAGTTTCTCAGCTACAAAATGGTATTATAATTTCTGCTTCATATGAGTTAATGAAACAGTGTATATAAAACACTTAGTAGAATGCTTCGTACCTACTACAGTACTTAAAAATAGTAACCGACTCTTAAAGAGGCATGATTAATTAGTAATATTACTGAGAATTTGTGATAGATAATGATCTTTACTACATCTGCATTTCAGAGGGTTTGTGTTTTTCTGCTTGTGGCATATGGTTTATCTGAGTGAAATATTGAATAAAGGGGTCAAGAATTTGTTTCTCAAAGGTGTTTAGTTTCATCCCTTGGGAGTGTGAAAGATCTACTGTAATGGTTTTTACATCATTTTACAATTCACAGATATGTAATATAACTATTGATATATATATATATAAAACTCAATATTTCTGTTTCATTTCAGTCATATACTTTAGTGTTTTCTGTGTAAATACAACTGAGAAATATGAAGTGTTCCATGTATCATAAAGATGCTTATTTTCTCCATTTTGTACTTCCAGAGAATTTATGTGAATATGAGGGTGATTATAGGAATTGCTTTTTTTTTATCCTCACCCGAGGACAATTTTGTCCATTTTTTGTTCAGATAGAGTGGGAGGGAGAGAGAGAGAGAGAAACATCGACGTGAAAGGGACACATTGAGTGGCTGCCACCCACACAACCAACCAGGGCTGGTGACAAACTGCAACTGAGGGACGCGCCCTTAGCGGGAACCAAGCCTGGGACTCTGGTCCGCAGGCCGACGCTCAACCGCTGAGCCAAACTGGCCAGGGCTGTATGTTCTTATAAGGCTTCTTTTTGCTATAGTCAGTGAAATTCAGTGTCATCTTGGTATATTTTATTTACTATTCCATGTAACTATAATTGAAATTTTGATTCAGTAAATAAAAATGCTCATGAAGTAACTGTTAGGTTTTACTACATTGATGAATAGTCACTTTTAGCTAATTCTTTTTAAGTACATTTTTTCATTTGTCTATTCAAAGTCATTTTAATGTATTTTCCATGTAGTTCTTTGTAAAAAGGATCACTGAATTTAGCACTTTTTTCCAGTAATGTTTAAATTAGCACCTCAACTTTATTTATCTTCTATACAGATCTCAGAAAAAATGAAGATAAATTGAACCATCATCAGCGAATTGGGCTGAAGTAAGGTGGCAAATGTTCTTTGACACTGGAGATGTAAAAGTAAAATATTTTATAGCCATCCTTCCATACATCATCATAATTCTTCAGACTTAGCTAAACAACCATTTTTCTATTCAGAAATGCTAAGATTTATCGCAGACTCCTGTAGAGAATATGCCTATATTCACATTTTGTTATTGCTTTCTAGTTTGCTTGTTTTGAGTATTTCTCTCATTCTCTTGACTTTAGCAGGGAATTTCCTCTGAAAATGCATAGAATTGAGTGCATCAGTGAGTCAGTAGGTGCTTGTTTTGTGCTTATGTTATACAAAGCACTGCACTAGGTCTGGGGTAAGGATAGAAACAGGCTCAGTGGAGCTTTTAGGAAGTTTAGAGTCTACTCCAGAAGATGGGACATGAAATTAAAACACTAAATTTAAAAAAAAAAAAAAAAACACAAAAAACCAATCACCTAAATAACAGTAAAGGAATAGCTAATAGGCATGTTGTACGTCAGCATTAGCTATTATTTTGTGCCAGATATAATCAGGAACCCCCTTTTAAATTATTTAAAATACATAGTGTATAAGCTATGTCAAGGCATAAGCATGCATCTTTCCACTAATCTCATATAGTTTTGTTGGCGATTCAGTCCTAATAATCTGAACTTTTCTGTTGATGCCTTACCATAATATTTTAAACTTACACCATCCTTCCAAAAATTTGAGCAGGTAAGAGATCAGGATGGTATAGTTCTCACTTTCCTTGCATTTACATAGTAAATAGAGATCTTCTGAACTTAGTTGTTGTGAGAATTGGTTTTGAACCGGTGCTTTATTCTTAGATGTTGTTTCATACTTAAGTAATGTTTTTATAAAAATCTTACAGATAACCATACAATTCACCCACTTAAAGTATACAATTGAAGGGTTTTAATGTATTCACAGAGTTGTACCACCGTCACTACACTCCATTTTAGAGCATTTTTATTATCTTAGAAAGAGCCTGTACCCATTAACAGTCACTCCCTATTTCTCTCCAGTCCTCCACCTCTACCCCCCAGGCTCCTGGCAACCACTAATCTACTTTCTGTTTCTATAGATTTGCCTATTCTGGACATTACATATAAATGAAATGATATAGTACGTGGTCTTTTGTGACTGCTTCTTTCATTTATGTCTGGGTTCATTCATATTGCAGGATTCTACTAGGATATTTTAAAATACAGTAATTTGCCTGATCAGTGTGGCTCAGTGGTTGAGCATTGTCCCATGCACCAAGAGGTCACTGATTCGATTCCTGGTCAGCGCAGATGCCCGGGTTGTGGGCTTGATCCCCAGTGAGGGGCTTGCAGGAGGCAGTCGATTGATGTTTCTCTCTCATTGATGTTTCTATCTTTCTCTTCCTTTCCCTTTCTATCTAAAAATTAATAAAAAAACATACAATAAAATACAGTAATTTTACGTAATTTAAGGGCAATAAATTATAACCCCTTGTCAATAGGGAGCAGTCTAATTTGGAAATGTACTGACTTAAATATATTCGTTTACTCTGGGCATGTGAATGTGACGTTTATTTATAAATAAGTTTAGATGGAGTATCTGAAATATCAGCAAGGATGGCACTTAAGGATTTTGATCCAAGTTAAGGAATAAACTTTCCCTACCCCCAATTTTACTGTTGTCTTACTGAATTTTAATCTTGATATTTGAATGATTTGATGGTATAAGGACACTTGATATGACAGGAAATGTAGTTTTTAAGAAGATTTAAATGTCACAAAAATCTTGTCTATTTATTCTGTCTTTATAGATATTTTGAGGACTTTGAAAAAAGAATTCCTCGTGAAGAGATGTTACAAATGCAAGTAAGAGTGTGCTGAGTTGTATTCTTCAATTAGAATTGACAGTGTCCTTGGTGAAAGCCATTTTTAGAATTCTGACTTAATTTTTCTTCTATTAGGATATTGTACTAAATGAAGTTAAAAATGTGGATTCTGAATACATTGCTACAGTCTGTGGCAGTTTCAGAAGAGGTAATACACTTCTTAATCTCAGGTGATTCATGCTTTGATGTTAAAATTGCCTAGTATATATGAAAAACGTGGGTTAAAAAGATGGAATTTGTGTTACTTAACAGATTTACTAAGATCCAGTAGTAATAGCTAAGTTTATTTATTTATAGATAGAAATATATGTGAAAAGTTAGATGAAGTTCATACTGAATTTTTTATGGAATGATATTTTAGTGACTAATTTTAATACAAATTTGTAGAATAATTTTGAGTGTGTTAAAATCTTAATAGTGGCTATCTGGCTAGATGCTAGTGAATCTGTGGGTAGTTTTTGTTTGTTTTACTTTTTGTATTTTCTAAGCTTTCTATAATGGATCTAAGAATAATGTCTCAGAAGCACCAGTTCAAAACCAATTCTCACAACAACGAGGTTCTGCTGATCTTCATTTACTATGTGAATACGAACAAAATGCGTACCACACAATCATGGTCTCAAAAATTTGGAAGGGTAACATAAGTTAAAAAATTTAAACTTTACGTGCGGGTGGCAGCCACTCGATGTGTCTCTTCACATCGATGTCTCTCTCCCTCTCTCTTCCTCTCTCTCCCTCCCACTCTATCTGAACAAAAAATGGAAAAATGTCCTCGGGTGAGGATAAAAAATAAAAAAAAAATTTAAACTTTAACAATTAGAATAGAAAAACTTTATTTAAAACTTTAGAATAGATATCTGACTGAATCTCTGGCCACCTCTGGAGTTTTGCGTGGAAGTAGGTGACGGGCTATAAGCAGTTCTCTGGGTAGCTGCTATAAGAATAGAGCTGGGGAGAGAAAAGGACTAAATTCACAATTGCTGATAAGTAGAAAGAACACTGGATTGGGGCCAAAATACCTGGGTTCTCAGGCCAAATTAAGTAAGTTTGTCTCTCCATATCCTGTTTTCTGTATTTGCAAAATGAAAGAATTAAAGTTATGTTGTTCACATCTGTCAATCAGAAATACTTAGGAAGTTTTTAAAAATGTACACACTGCTGTACACTGCTACAAACCTACTAAATAAGAATCTCCTTGGGTGGGGCCTTGGAATTGATATTTTCAAAACAGATTTTGATACACAGAAAGTCACATGCATGCTCATTTGAACAGCCTTTCTGGATTTATATTTTTTTATTTTTATTTCTTTTGCTTTTATCAGTCACTTATATGCTTACTTGCTTTAATATAAATAAGATATACTCTTAAGAAGTCTCTCTTCTACCCTACCCCTATTTACTCTCTTCATTCCTTCCCACTGCTGACCCATTAATAACCACTTTCTTGTGTATTCTTTCAGTGTTTTTAAATTTAAATATAAATATACATTTTTGGTTTTCTTTTCTCTCTTTCTCAAAGGTAATATAATATATACATGGTGTACTATACCTTTTTTTCACTTAAAAATCTGGTTAAAGATTTTTGATGGATAGGATGATGGTCCATAGACAGTGTAAGATCTTCCGTGACCAGAAGTATTTTTTACATATATTATACTTAAAAAATGGGAAAAGAGGCAGTGAACAGGATTATTTTATGCCAGCTATGTGCCAGGCACTATTCTAGATGCTTTGACACATGTTCTTATTTAGTTGCACAACAGCCTATAAAGTAGTTTTTAATAGTTTGTAGACAAGGAAAGTGAGATCTAGAGGAATATAGTCTTCGTTTGCAATACTGAAAAAAAAAAAAAAGATTTAAAATGAAAAAATTCCATTTCAATGGAGATAAAATTTCATAGTGAAAGAAAGGTTTAAACAACTGTATGTAACTTGCCTGAAGTTATTTAGTTTTAAAATAGGGATCAAAATGAAAGCCTACGTCATTATAATGTGCTGTGCTCTTTATCCATGACACTATCATAGTTATTTTTACCAATATTCATTAAATAAGTTCAATCATAAGAATTAAAGTGAGTTTTCTGATTAACCTTTACAGAGTTAGAGTATATTGTTTGAAATTTTTAGATATATAGTATTCATAGAATGTCTTTTAAAGCTATTTTAAATGTTATTTTTACTCTTTATTAAATACTTAAGTGCATTTAAAAATATTATTTATTGATTTTTTAGAGAGAGAAGAAGGGAGAGGGAGAGAGAGAGAAACATTGATGTGAGAAACATCAATTGGCTGCCTCCTGCACACCCCCTACTAGGGATCAAGCCTGCAATCCAGGCATGTGCCCGGACTGGGAATCAAACTGGCAACCTTTTGATGCCTGGGACGATGTCCAACCAACTGAGCTATACTAGCTACATTAAATTAGCAAATTAGGTGCGATATCTAATGCCAGTGACTATTGTTACACCAGATTCTGCCTTTTTCATCAATATAACTAAATAGTTGGACAGAAAATTGAAATCTTTTCAGTAATTCTGAATATGAAGCTTAGTGAAATCGAAAGTTAGGCTATGAGAAGGAAGGCCCATTAATGTGTGTCATCACCCTGGTTCTGTTTGTCTCACAGATAAATTCACGTGAAAAATTCTGTACGTTTTCTGTTTTCATAGGTGCAGAATCCAGTGGTGACATGGATGTTCTTCTGACCCATCCAAGTTTTACCTCTGAATCAAACAAACAGGTACCTCAGAATTTATGTTTGCTGTGATCGATCTTACATAGCAGTGCAGTATCATTTTCTAAATGATAGTTGGATATTTTCAGAATAAGTTTTTGCTTTAATCTTTCTGAAAAATCAGTTGAAGTTTGTACTGATTAAATTATGTGAAAGTCAAAGTAAGTTTTTGAAAGGGATACATGTTTTTTCATAAGGAATTGGGAGGACCGTCTAACATTTGAAAGAGATGAAATTTAGTAAAATATTTCCAGAATTATTTATTGTCTATCATAAATATTTTAGAAATACCCAATATGATATTTAGGTTTTCATTAAAGGAATAGTTTTCTATTAAAATAATATTGTATTTAGAAACTTGACCTCGATTAGAAAACTCAAGAATGCAAAACATTTTTTATTTTCAAATATATGCCTTTTAAAGATGAAGCAGGTAACTTTGATTTAATGAAACAGATAAACACAAATGATGTTTGTTTGGGGGATATCATGATTGAAAGACGATGGTATCTAAAAATAAGTTTTGCTTAATAAGATAAATTTTCTGTTAGAAAAAAAGTACTTACTCAGAGCATAGGAAAATAGGCATTTCTCCACAAATAATCAGAAAACTCATGTTAAAAATGTTTTCTTTTTTTAAAAAATGTTTCATTGACTTTTAGAGAGAGAGGGAGAGAGAGAGAGAAACATTGATGACAGAGAACATCGATTGGCCGCTTCCTGCATGCCCCCCACTGGAGGTCGGGCCCGCAACCTGGGCATGTGTCCTGACCTAGAATCGAACTGGCGACCTCTTGGTGCATGGGTCGATGCTCAACCACTGTGCCACATCAGCCGGACTAAAAATGTTTTCTTGCTGGCCTGGCTGATTTTGCCCAGTGGTTAGAGCATTGGCCCATGGACCAAAGAGTCACAGGTTTGATTCCAGTCAAGGACATGTACCTCAGTTGCAGTTTGGTCCCTGGCCCTGGTTGGGATTGTATGGGAGGCAGCCGGTCAATGTCTCTCTCACATCAATGTTTCTCTCTCTGTCTCTCTCTCTCTCCTTCCCTACCTCCCTTCCACTTTGTCTGCAAATCCTCTACTGAGGATGTAAAAAAAGTTTTCTTGCTGTAACAGAGTAATTGCTCTTTTTCTTATTCCTTAATTATGATTCTACAGCCGAAGCTGTTACATCGTGTTGTGGAGCAGTTACAAAAGGTCTGTTTTATTACGGATACTCTGTCGAAAGGAGAAACAAAATTCATGGTAAGTAGTTGTTTGAGTTAACAAATCAGAAAAACCTTAAAGACTGTTCAGTAATGGTTGTGATGTGTGACCTCACAGTAGCTTAATGTTACAGTCAATAAATATCCATGAGACCACAGAGAAGAATAATTAGCAGAATGCTAATCTCAGAATATTTTAGTAAAAAAGTTTTCTTTTAAAATCCCCACTTGTAAATATCTGTGCCATTGGAATAGATCATTAGGCATAACCTGCTATTTTCAAAATATTCCTAATGACTTTGACATATAAGTTTTTCCCTAAAATAGCAAATGTTTTCATATTCTCTGACTCAGAATTCTTCAGTAAGTGAGATTAAAATTGTCTGAAGAGTATTAATCTATTACAGTACCAAAGAAAGGAAAGAAATCAAGGTATGTGCTAGAAACATGTTATGTGGAATGCTAGGTAGAGGAGTTCACAGAGGGGCACACTTGCAGAGATTTTCAAAGTGAAACCCATCATGACAAACTTTCAAAATCCTGTAGTCTTCCTAGGGAATTAAAATTTAGATTCAAGATAAATGGCAAATGGATTAAAAGCAGATTAATAAATGACCCTGTATAAAAACCAATAGGAAGGCAAATAGAAGTCTAGGACTAAAGTCATAAAGGCTTACCTTTATTCTACTGGTCACTTAAATATATACATCATTTGGATTCCCTTTTCTCTGTGCCCCCTTTTCCCCAAGTTATATGACTGAAAGGAAAGAGTGTGCTTTTGGAGAATAGACATGCTGTAATTAGCAAGTCTTGTGCATACATTTGACAACAGTTTTGACCAACAGTAGAAGAAGATGGTTGAGATAAATAATTGAAATATCATACCATTCAGAAAGTAGAATGGTGGTTGCCAGGGCCTGGGGGAAGGGGGGAATGGGGAGGGGTACAGAATTTCATTTGGGGAAGTTGAAAGTAGTTAAAATGGTAAATTTTATGTATATTTAATCATAAAAAAACATTGTGTTATTAAATTCAGCCTGGTGATTTTAATGGGCTGTGAAAGTATATTGCCTAAGTTGGTCACACTTTATCAATGTTTTCAAAAGAATTTTGGGAAAGGTAAAAATAAAATTCTAGCCAGTCTTTGGGAATTAAATATATGTTTTCCTGAATCTGTCAGATTCTGAGTTCTGACTCTATGTCCAAAAGTATATACATACATGAGATCTTATTTAAAATAGGGTTTATATATGCTCCATGAACATCCTTTAAATTTTAGATTGATTGTAATTCACTCATACCAAATACGCATAAATCTTACATTTAAAGTACATTCAATTGGGAAAAATCCTAAAAATAATATGAGCTAAACACGCTGGATTTTTTTCATTGTAAGTGTCCTCACTGGGTACATTCTGGGTGCTCTTTCTGGCCTAACTCTCCTCCTCCAGTAGTCATCTCTGTGAAAGGCACTGGGACTCCCTACTGGGGAAGTGCACCACCTGCTTTCAGAGTTAGCTACATGGAAGGTGTTTATGCAATACAATAGCAGAAGCATTTTTTTACTGTTTGAACAGTGCTCAGAGAGATACAGAGGAAAGACCAACAGAGGCTATAGTAATTCAGCTAGCAAGAATACAAGGAAAAATTACAAGCTGGTGGGCTGGTTATAATCTGAAAAGGAAAGGTAGGTAGCCAAGTATACATGAATGTAAAGATTTGCTGACAGTGGTGGAAATGGGTTATCCTAGTAGCTGCTCAATCAAAAAAGAGAAGACTCTTGCCTGGAAAGTGAATGGGCAGCCAAATCCCAGTGACTGCTGCAGTAGGCTGGTTCAGACCTTGCTGTTTATGATATAAAAGAACAAAATGGTGAGAATGAGTGTCAATAGGGTGAGAAGGTATATTCAGTTAATTCAGCAAATATATATTAAGCATCTACTACATTCCAGGTTCTAGGAGCTTGGGATATATCAGTGAATTTAAGTAGAACTTATATTTGAGGATTGTGGGAAGGGACTGATAGTTAACAAGGAACATAATAAATAAATTGTTTAATGTGTTAGGTTAAGGTAATAAGTACTATTTTTTAAAAGAAGAAAAGGGAGAGCAGGGTATGGGGAGATGGGTGTGCAGGTCATAGTATTATATAGGATGGTCAGAGGCACAGAAGATGAGACCTGGGGAAAGACTTGAGGTAAGGGAGTTAGCCAAATAGATGTGGCGGGGAGAGAATCAGAGCAATGACCCTAAGTACATGAATATTAGCAGAGACATCCAAAGAAGTTAAGATCTCTAGGTTTTTAAAAGGAAGTTGGCTGTGAAATGAATTCAATTTATAAGGTGAAATAAACCTTTCTCATTCCTTATCTACTTGATTTCAAAACCTTTTGTTGCTATAACTACGAACTAGTTTTAAAGATAATACCATTCATGTATTTTTCAAGTTATCTTCAAAATGTTAATTCTTTTAATAGTAATCAAACCTTAGGAAAGCCAGGGTTATTACAAATCTTGTAGAATCATGGTCTTTAGATAATTGAGCTATTCATTCTGTGACTAACATTTAGAAAGAAAAGACCAATTCCTTCTGCATTTAGATGCCTGTTTGCTGTATGTATGATGAGCACCATACAAATTTTAGCATTTTGTGCAAATTTGGCCTTGGATGATTTTCTGTGAAATATCAACAGTAAGGATTCAAGGGACAGTAGAAGATACCTTGACTACCCTGAGGAAGTAAGAGGGGCTTTATTCCAGACACTTGCATGGAGCTACCTAATTGTAATGCCAAACAAAACTAATCCACTCTATCTAATAAATAATTTACAATGATTCAGAGAAATTCTTTAACCCTAACACTTTAGAAAAAGTGTAGGAAATACAGTTAGTCTTGAGGAAAGGAACAAAGCCATTAGATGAAGTCCTATTACTAATGTGACAGACAGTAAGATCATTGCCTGTGGCATCCAAACATCCATATCCACAAGGTCATGCTTCATGGTAATTCCAGATGGACGTCATTTCTGATCCATTTGAAGGTTGAGTTGGAACTTTTTAATGCCTAAGAAGGTAGGTTTCATATTTTGAAGATAAACAGGATTCATTAATCTTTCAGCCATAGCAACAGCTAAAGAAAATACCCATTTTGGATTTTAATTTTTCTGTGTTGCTGAATGAAAAAGTATAGCTTTTAGTGATATGTATACCAGCTCAACTACTTTTTAAAACCAGAACCCCCTCATTTGTATATTTTTCTTAGAATGTGGCATTTGAAACTATTTTGAAATTTGATGTTTGTAGCTCTTTTTACATATTTATGGGTTGCTGACTAGTCCAGAATTTCCCCCCATTTTTCTGGAAAAGGAAAAGATAGCAAAACAGACCTTAAAAATACCTATTTGAAAACTGTAGAAGTATAATGAAAACGAACTTGCAGAGAAGGAAGAAAATAACCCTGATTTTCTTATCTTTTAAATTTTTCTTATTTTTCTTCTATCTGTCCTCTAATTCCTGGGAGGTTTCCATAATTTCTAACTCATCTACTTTTGCTATCATATTTTTTATTTTAATTTAAACTTTTTCCCTGAATGTTCTTTTGCTGTAGCATCTGCCCTTATTTCTTGGATGGAATATCTCCTGTTATCTGAGAATATTACTCATAGCTTTTTTATTTGTTTTCTTCTTCCTGAATAATCATTTCTTCCAAATTGCATTTTTCTGTTGGTTTTGATGTCTGTCTTTCGTGTTTGGTGCTTTTCCTTGGTGCTTGTTGTTTAGAATCACACAAAGGCCAAGTCCTCATAACTATAGTCCTTGCCTGCTGTTTCATGTAGCTCTTTCATTATCATGAAGTATAATAGGAAGGTAGTGATAACAAATACCGCATAGAAAAACTAGGTTAGCCCGGCCATTGTGGCTCAGTGGATTGAGCGGCGTCCCATGGACTGAGAGGTCCCAGTTCGATTCCCAGTCAGGGCACATGCCCGGGTTTTGGGCTCAGTCCCCAGAGGGGGGAATGTGGGAGGCAGCTGATCAATGTTTCTATCTCTCTCTCCCTAAAAACATACTTAAAAAAAAAAACTAAATTAAAAGTGCTCCAAATTTGAAAACTGCCTCCATTTAAAACAAAAATAACCTCACATTTAACAATATGTAATTAAAATTAAGCCTTAAGCCCTGGCCAGTTTGGCTCAGCGGTTAGAGCGTCGGCCTGCGGTCCGGAGAGACCCGGGTTCGGTTCCCGCTAAGGGCACGTACTTCGGTTGCAGTTTGTCCCCGGCCCTGGTTGGTCGTGCGGGTGGCAGCCACTCAATGTGTCCCTTCACGTCGATGTTTCTCTCTCTCCCTTCCTCTCTCTCCCTCCCTCTCTATCTGTACAAAAAATGGAAAAATATCCTCGGGTGAGGATAAAAATAATAATAATAATAAAATTAAGCCTTAAGTTTAAAAATATCTTTAAACACTCTTTTAAATGTCCATTTTAGGGTGTTTGCCAGCTTCCCAGTAAAAATGATGAAAAGGAATATCCACACAGGAGAATTGATATCAGGTATTTATTGCTGACCTATTAACTTTTCCCTTCTTTTCTCTTTTCCACCCCTCCCTCTATATATCTTGGAATTCACATAAATGTCTAGAATCTCTTTTCATTCTGAAGTGCTATGTGTTCCTGCTATAGAAAATGTGTAGCCTGAAAATATATAAATAATAACTGTCTACAGAATCTAATTTATTTTTTCTAGCTATCCATCTCATCATGATGCCTTCCACAGCTCAAAAGGAAATTCCTGCCTGGGGAAAATTGGTTGTAATAAGTGATACTGCTTTTCATTTCTCCACACATCTTGCAGAACATAATTTACTAAAACCTAAACTGCGCAGCGTTGGGGTGTTTTGAATGGTCTACCTAATGATAGTCTCCTCTTTGTGTCATTTGGCTACATAGACTTATTTTAGGTGCTTTGTACCTTATTGATTTTTTTTTAAATCCTCACCTGAGGATATTTTTCCATTTATCTTTAGATAGAGTTGGAGGGAGGTAGGGAGGGAGGGAGAGGAGAGGAGACAGAGAGAGAGAGGGAGGGAGGGAGTGGGGGAGGGGGAGAGAGAAAGAGAGGGAGAGAGAGAGAGAGAAAGAGAGAAACATTGATATGAGAGAGACTCATCAATTGGTTGCTTCCTGCATGACCCCGACCGACCAGGGCCAGGGACGTACCACAACCAAGGTATGTGCCCTTGATCGGAATCGAACCCACAACTCTGGTCCGCAGGCCAAAGCTCTAATCGCTGAGCTAAACCAGCCAGGGCCCTTATTGATTTTAAGAGTCTTATTTTTGCTAAATTTAGTGGGAACCAAACCCGGGTCTCTCTGGACTGCAGGCCGACGCTCTAACCGCTGAGCCAAACTGGCCAGGTTATTTTTGCTAAATTTAAAAGATTTAAATTTGTTTATTGCCTTTTTTTTTTTTTAGGTTGATACCCAAGGATCAGTATTACTGTGGTGTTCTCTATTTCACTGGGAGTGATATTTTTAATAAGAATATGAGAGCTCATGCCCTAGAAAAGGGCTTTACAATCAATGAGTACACAATTCGTCCCTTGGGAGTCACTGGTGAGTATTTGTGTCCCTTAGTGATAACCCCTGTCATCTGGAGAGAAAGTTATTTTCAAAGATACTTTGTTTTAGCAATTTGCATTTCTCTAAAAAGCCTTTAAGTAACTATTGCCAATTAATTGTAGTTTCTTTGTATTGTTTGTTCCTCAGGCAACAAAGAGGGCTTTAGGGCATATATGTTCCCAGGCCCTCAATTGAAGGCTTTGATAGCAAGAATTACTTCTAGCTCTATCACATGGATTAAATTCTTTCTACCTGTGATGGTCAGCAAAAGAAAATTTATTGATCTAAGTGTTTTGTTTTTTTAAATCTATCTTCAAGACTTCTAAAGAACCCAGGTATCACTGCTTTTGGTGCCAGGCCAAATCTGGTAGCTTTGGCACCATGGTTTAGAGTTTATAAGTAAGAATTGCTTACTCTCTGCGATTTTGTCCTAAAAGTTTAAAATCGGGCTTTCATTCTTGGTAGACTAGGGCAGACTTCTCACATGTCAATGTGTATAAAAATCATGTGGAGGCCCCATTAAATGCAGATTCTAATTCAGTGGACTTTGGAGTGGCGCCCAAGATCCAGCATTTCTAGGAAGCTTCCAGGTGATGCCAGTACCGCTAGTCTAGGAACCCCATTTTGTGTTGCCAAAGAACTAAGGAGTATTTTATATAGTACATGGTGGCTATAATGGAGATCCCGCAGAGAGGAAACTCATGAACTGGATCACCTCAGAGGCCATGGTTGGCGTCCTCAGGTTCCTTTGGTAGCACTAGCGTATGTATGACAAACCTCAAGCACAGGCTCGTGTGGGAGGATGGGGTGGGCAATATCTTTTTTTTTCAGTGGCTTGGTTACCATTTTCTTTTCTTTAAGTATGTCCCATATAGCTGTCAGTTCTGAATCTTCTATAACTAAATTCTAAAACTGGTTTGTAAGTAAATATTTTATTTTGTCTCTTACTTGCAGGAGTTGCTGGAGAACCCCTGCCAGTGGATAGTGAGAAAGACATCTTTGACTACATCCAATGGAAATACCGAGAACCCAAGGATCGAAGTGAATGAGGCTTGTCCTTCTTCCCAGGCGCAGCCCAAAAGGAGTCTTAATTTATTTCTTAATGTTTGCTATGTAAGGGTCTTTGGTGTTTTTAAATGATTGTTTCTTCTTCATGCTTTAGCTTGCACCGTAGTCAATAAAACCTCTTGTACTATTATCAGATGAACTTGTTCTGTTATTAGAAAATATGTTTAAATTTACATTTTTGATCACACTTTACTAAAGGTTTACTAGAGAGAATTAAGAGGTAATAATAAATCTTTAATGGGATTTTTCTTGTTTTCTGCCCTTATGCTATAAACCAACATTACTCCCACTTCCTTTTCTACTATTTACTGATTACAAATTAGTCAATTAAGATACACCCGGAACCCAGCTTGTGTGGCTCAGTAGATTGAGTGCCCTCTCATGGGAGTCCCGGTTCAATTCCTGTTCAGGGCACATGCCCGGGTTGTGGGCTCCATCCCCAGTGGGGGCATGCAGGAGGAGGCTGATCGGTGTGAAAGAGGAGGCTCTCTCACATTGATGCATCTGTCTCTCCCTTCCTCTCTCTCTAATAAATCAATAAAAATATATTTTAAAAAAAGAAAAGAAAGAGATATTCCCAGAGGCTATTCTCTGGAGGATGGTTCAGTATTTTTTTAAAACTAGGGATCTTCATAAATTTAATTTTTGTTTTGGTTGGCCCATATTTGATTTCATAATATACACTTAAAACTTAAATAGAAGAACGGGTGTGTGGTTTAGCTCTTAAATGAAATCTGTAGCAACTGGTTGTAATCCATCAGAAAGAGCTTCCCTATGCAAAACCACTTCTAGTTGTACCCGTATGTACAAAATATGGCCTCTGAAATTTTAAGCAAATTTGCCCTAGTTTTCCTCCAAGCTAATTTTTAGGTTTAAATGGTAAAAATATATAACTCAAAACACTCCTTGAAAGCCCTCAATTTGTAATATAAAAATTATGTAAATGTAAAAAGTTATCAAATGATAAGTAAAGCTATTGAAAACAAATTATGTAAAAATGCTCTGTAACTTGCAAAGGTCTGTACAAACTTAAGATGATAATTGCCTTTTGAAACTTATTTATTAACTAAATTATTTTGTGGTGAAATGGCATTGCCCTTCCAAGAAATAAAAGAAAATAAACAATAGGGTTTTTAAGGAAAAATAGTATTTGCTGTGATAATTTTCACTGGTAAGATATAAGAATTCATTGCACCACAGATGCCATCACTATTTCCCCCCAAGCTACTGTCAGTTACCAGAACTTCACCAATAATTATTTAAGATTTATTTGAACTACTTGAATCACTAGATAAAAATTAAATTATTTTGTTATAGTATCACATCACTTTTCTGCAGAAATAGACAAAAGCTAAAGCTAGTTTCCATTCATCACAAGGCATCTCACTGTTCTCTAGCCCAGTCTATTTCAATTGCTACAAGATTTGATTTTAAGATACATTTGTATAGAAAGATTTAAAAATTAACGTTTGAGATTTCAGCTTGAATACAATGAGTCATCTTCATTTTGAAATATTTACAGCTTTTTAGATTTTTTGGCATGCTCTAAACCATGCATGTTGTTGATTGCCAGCCCCTTGATGTGGACAGCAGTCTAGGACCACAGTCACAGCGCTGAAAGATTTCTGGAGCTTGAGCAGTGTCTTATGTCCTCTCCTAGAACAGACCTGTCCCTCCAGTAGGATTAGTTCACAAATTTTAGTCCAATATTGACGAGCACAACAAAGTCTAGGTGGAACTACATCAAGTGTAATAGGTTAGTTTCCTGTTTCAGAACTAGACTTCATTAAAAATAAACAAAACTGACTTCCAGTCAAGATGGCGGCGTAGGGAAACGCAGTATCGCGTTCTCCCACAACCACATCCAAGTTACAACAAAACTACAGAACAACCATCATCCAAAACCGCCTGAAATCAAGCTGAATGGAAGTCCTACAACTACGGAATTAAAAAAAAAAAAAAGCAGCTACATCTAGACCGGTAGGAGGGGCGGAGGCGCGAGGGGTGGCGGCGGCGCGACTGGCTGGTCCCACACCCACGTGTGGCGGATAAAAATCAGGAGGCTCCCGCGGCTGGCAAGGTCCTTCCTGAGGACTGAGGGGTCCCCGTCCCACACCAGGTGCCCCACTCAGGTTTCCAGTGCCAGGAAGAGAAGTCCCCATAACTTCTGGCTGGAAAAACCAGCAGAAACTGAGGCTCAGGGAAGCTGATCTGGCTGGAGCCACAGGCAGCTCCCTAAAGGGCCCGCGCACAGACTTATCGGACTCTCTCCCTCTAAGCTTGGAGGGGAGGCAGCTCGAGGGGCGCCAGAGACATACAGGGAAGAACTGAGCTGTTTGGCACTGGAGCGAGGGCTGGAGAGAGGGCTTCCTCGGGGACAAATGTGCGGTAAGAGGCCTTTGTTCCTTTGGTGAGCCCTTCCCTGGGGCGGCAGACAGTCGCCTTATCTGGGACTCCAGCAACCTGGCTCACGCTGGTAGCCCCGCCCTGGTGACTCCCTGAGGCCCCGCCCCGCCCCATACAACTTTCAGGTCCACCCAAGCTGTTGCCACTTGCTTAACCGTAGGATTGGCCTGTCTTGGATCCTGCTTCAGGTTTTTCCTAAATTCTTTCAAATGAGCAGCATCGGGTCTCAGCGAGCCCCATACCTCTCATTAAGTAATACACAGAAACAAACACAGGGAGGCAGCCAAAATGAGGAGACAAAGAAACAGGTCCCAAATGAAAGAACAGAACAAAACCCCAGGTAAAGAACTAAGCGAAATGGAGATAAGCAACCTAACAGATGCTGAGTTCAAAATACTGCTTATAAGGATGCTCAGTGAACTCAGTGAGGGCCTCAAGAGCATAAAAAAGGACCAGTTAGAAATGATCGCTGCACAGTTAGAAACGAAGGAGGCTTTAACTGAAATAAAGAATAATTTACACAGCTTCAATAATAGAGTACGTAAATCCAAGGAGCAAACCATCAATTTGGAATATAAGGAAGCAAAAAACGCCCAATCAGAACAGCAAAAAGAAAAAAGAATCCAAAAAAATGAGGAGAGTGTAAGGAGCCTCTGGGACAACTTCAAGCGTGCCAACACTCCCATCTTGGGGGTGCCGGAAGGAGAAGAGAGAGAACAAGAAATCGAAAACCTGTTTGAAACAATAATGGCAGAAAACTTTCCTAACTTGGTGAAGGAAACAGACATACAAGTCCAGGAAGCACAGAGAGTCCCAAACAAGATGAACCCCAAGAGGCCCACACCAAGGCACATCATCATCAAAATGCAAAAGGTTCAAGACAAAGAGAGAATCTTAAAAGCAGCAAGAGAAAGGCAGATAGTTACCTACAAGGGAGTTCCCATTAGGCTGTCAGCTGATTTCTCAAAAGAAACTTTGCAGGCCAGAAGGGAGTGGCAAGAAATATTCAGAGTGATGAAAAGCAAGAACCTACAACCAAAATTACTCTATCCTGCAAAGCTGTCATTTAGAATCGATGGACATATAAAAACTTTCCCAGACAAGAAAAAGTTAAAGGAGTTCATCACTACCAAACCGTTATTATATGAAATGATGAAGGGTCTTTTTAAAGAAAAAGATAAAATGTATGAACAAACAAAATGGCAATGAATACATATCTATCAACAATGGAATCTACAAACAAAATGAACAGGAAGAACAGGAACATTCTCATAGATACAGAGAACATTTTGTTGGTTGCCAGTTGGGAGGGGGGTTGGGGGAATGGATGAAAAAGGTGAAGGGATTAAGAAGCACAAATTCATTGCTAGACTGACAAACCTCAAAGGGAAAGGGGTTGGGGGGGTGGGAAGAAATAAACCAAAGAACTTATATGCATAACCAATGGACACGGACAATAGTTTGGGAAAAGGTGGGAGGGGGGCGGGAGTGGGGAGAAGGGAGTCAATGGGGGAAAAATGTGGAACATCTGTAATACATTTTACATCCAACAATAAAGATGTGGAAAAAAAATAAATAAAAAAAATAAATAAATAAAAAAAACAACCCTCAATTAATCCAGTGTTAATTGGATCTCTACTGTATGCAAAACACCATAAACCTTATATACACCCTCAGGAAACAAAGCTAGTAGGGGCCTGCTGATGTGACATTTACTCTGAAGTAGACTGGAGTAAGTGGTTGAATGGAAGTACAGATACAGTGCTGCGAGATACCAAAGTGCAGCCACTTCTGATTTGAGAATTTAAGTAAAGCTTTCTGGAATAATGTGGGAATGAGGATTTCAGGTGGTAGAAATGATCAAGGAAAGGGCTTTCCAGACAAGGTGAATATAAATAAAGATAATTGCTTTACTTTTTATTTATAATATGTGACTACTGTTCATAGTGTACATGGACACTGTCATTTCTCGGGATTTTCAGAAAGAGCCAGATGTAGAGAAAGGGAGCTCTATTAATGAGAAATGCATCTGGAACACATTTGTTCCATGAATGTGGCTTTTCTTCTACTTTTCAGTCTTTAGATATGCTGCGGAGTTGTCTGTTTCACTGAAAGGTAATGGAAAAAATGCCCATCGTTGAGAGTTATAGGAAATCAAAATTAGTTGCAGTCATAGTAGGAGAATAATAAAGTTGGCTTACATTATAGTACAGTAGCTGCCAACTTATGCAGAAAATATAAAACTCACCCTGTTTTTTTAAATATGCAGCATGAATGAGGAGGATGAATTGAGAGAAAGAGGTAAATATGTAGTAAATGATACCTAAAACATTTTTGTATATTTTTATTTGAGACCAAAATAAGACTTCTACCTTTTAACATTTGTGTTTGGATACATGATTATAAGAGTTATTTGGTCCTGCCTGGCCAGTGTGGCTCAGTGGATTGAGCATCGTCTCATGGACTGAGAGGTTCCAGTTCAATTCTCAGTCAGGGAACATGCCCGGGTTGTGGGCTCGATTCCAAGTAGGGGACATGCAGAAGGCAACCAATCGATGTTTCTCTTGCACATGGATGTTTCTATCTCTTCTTCTCTCTCAAAAAAAAAAAAAAAAAAAAAAAATTCAATAAAACATATTTTAAAAAAATTATTTGGCCCCAAATAATTTTTATTATGTATACATCAATAATTGCAGAGATATATACATATTACAGATGTTATTG